AGATGCGACCCGAGTCGTTCCCTTCAAGTGGAGCCCTTTGAATGGTTCATTCGCAGACTTGGAGTTGCCCAGGAAAATGAGGATTTCAGTTCGAGTTCGGGGTTACCATTTTGAGTTCCAAGCTGAAAGCCAACAAATCTCGAAAGGATAGTCGGGTCTGGGGTGAGCGGTGGTTTCTTCGAGCCCCTTGAGGTGATGAGGCGGGGTGGTCCCGGTAGCCGTTTTTGTTGTTTTTTTTGCCAGGCTTCTGCCGTGTTGCGCCTTCTTTTTGAAGCAGCACCTGTGTTCTTTGTTTGTGCCTTCCCTTGAAGCGAAGCGGACATGCTGGCAAAAGGGCCCCCTGCTCACCATAGTGCTGAAAGAAGCTAGCGGCCCGGGCCGCACATCCCTTTGACAAATGATGAGATGCGGAAGCACCCAGCAATGCATGTTGATTGTCTTGTAAGGCGCCCTGACCCACGAGCCAGCCTCAGGTCTATGCTGTGGAGGGGAACCCTGAAGCAGCTGAGCGGGCCCAGCAGTTTGTGGCCGAGCAGGAGGATGTCCCGGAGGGCGTGATCGAGGCCGGATTCATGGGGAGAACATGTTCAGCAGGTGGTGGGTTTCATTTGTGGTTTCCCATCCTTGCCAAGCTTGGATGGATTCCTCTCAGAAACCATGCGTGTTCCTAAATGTAGTCGCAGCTGCTAAGGGTGCCGAGCTGAGGTCATTGAAGGATTTTCGACGGCAGTGACGTTGCCAGAAAAGGTGGACCTGGTGTTGGCAGAGGTGGTTGGAGCCCTTGCCAGCCAGGAGAACCCGACTCAGATTCACATTGGACGTGGACCATCCTTGGCTGGAAATGACGCGAGGTTCTGGCACATGGAATCCATTTCAATTTCTAATCACTGGGGGTTGGTCAGCAACGCCGTCATGTGTTGCGCTTGGAAACGCTGCACCCGCGATTTGGGGCTGGGTCCAGGAGAACATCGTTGCGACGATGCAGGCATCTTGGGCACGCAAGTAGAAAGCTGTGGGTCACTGGCCGCAATGCTGTGAAGCAACTCGAGCGGTTCATTGTTGCAGGATGTCGCAACAGCATCCCCAAAAAGGATGACTGAATCAGCAGCCGGGCTTGTTGCGCAGGACGCGCAGAGGAGACATATGAAAGACCCCAGCGACTCCAAGAACTACATCCCAGCGGCGGTGCAAACTTGGACAGCCCCAGTGAGCTACGCTCTTCACCCGGTGCTTGCGCCTCCAAAGCCGCTGCCTCGGTTGATTGGGCCACAAAGATTGTGCATCAAGGGCGTGCGCACGTGGATGCACGGTTCATGCAGGTTCTGCCGATGTCGCCAGCGTGACTGTTTGCCAATGTTGTCGTCTCCTGTTGATCTGACTCAGCAGGGCCTAAAGGTCCGCTTTTGTTGCTTTGGATTTCTATGGGCTGGCAACCCGATAGAATGCCACTATTGGACCAGCAGCCAATGCATCAGCGTTCCTCACCCACTTCGCCTGAGACGTGTTGCATCAGGGCCTGGCCATTTTTTCCCTCAAAGAACACGACCCAAGGGAAATGAGAAGGGGCGCGGCAGCGCGTTTCCTGGGGCTGAGGTTTGAGAAGCTGCAGGGCCAGCCTTTGACTCTGAACCCGCGGGACCGAACCCTGGAGCTGCTCGCGGATCCGCAGGCGACCGGTTTCAACGCGTAGCAAGGGGTTGGCACATTTCTGCCCGCTGAGTCCGAGGAATTGTCACGTTCCCTCCCTATGACTCATGACTCATGACCCTTTGGGCCTATCCTTGTGGTTGACTGGAGGGGGGTGCCTCATGCTCAGCTTGCATCTCCCTGCCCCAGCCGTGAACCGCCTTCCAACACACCCAAAGGCACCCCATTGCGCTCAGAGGTGTATGGAGCATGTGCTTTGTGGGCTCCCTTGGCACAAGATTTGGTAAAAGAGCGCTACTGGCCGGTGGCTGATCAGAAACAGGCTGAAGTGTGGTTGCTAGCCCCACCACCCAATTCGGTCCGGTAGTTCTGGGGGTCCGGTAGTTCCTGGAGTTTCTGATCAGCTTCCCGCCTTGCATGGGTTCGGTGGCAAGCGCTTGGACAGGCTTTTTGGTCAGCACCAGAAGCCCAATGTCGATGCCGGATCAATCAAACTGGTGGATTCATAGAGGGACATTCCCCCAAAGGTGAAGTTGCGCTCGAAAATGGGATCAGGTCTTGGAAGAGATCCGCTTTGGCTCGACTCCACTGCCCTCCGGAAAGTGGGCCTCTCCTGCTCTGAGCTTCACGGTCTCCAGGGAGCCGTTGCGTTGCGCCGGGCCGGGGGTGGGAGCAGGAATTCTTTGTTTGGGAGAGCTCGGAATGCAAGGGATGCCCAACAAGAAAGAACTTTTGAAGTGTTGAAGTCCTTCTGTGGGAGCGATTTGAAGGAGATCGCTTGGCATGAGGCGCCCAGCGGCCCAGCCATGCATTTGGAACACCTAGGTTGATGTGAAGTTGCAGGCCGCCTTTGGAGCCATTTTTAGTGAGTTGGCACACGTGTCCCTTGATCTTCGGCCCCTCTGCACTTCATCCCCAGCTATTCCATGCCCAAATCCCTTTGAAGCCGAAGGAGCGCATAGAGGACAACTACAAGGCCTACTTCGAGGCAGTGGGTCTGAATTTCAGAAAAACTTGCGAATTGAAACGGGACCTGCCCGGCACACAGATATTGACAATGGCTGCTTGGATCGCTGTGCTTTCAGAAAGAAAGACCGAACTGGCAAAATGGAGCGCGAAATTTGTATTTGTTTGGAATCTCTTGCATGCGTGTAAAGAAGGTGTGGCTGTTATAGGCTTTGTGCCAGGCTGCGGATGGTTGTAGTCATTTGTGTTGCAGGGACTTGCATGCTTCTCCTCCGTGACAAGCACATTGAGCTTTCAGTTTGGTTAGGATAATTTGCTCGTGCAATCTATCCAACAGAACGCATTACAGCAACCTAACAGTTGCTGAAGCATTCGATGGTCACTATTCCCAAACCACTAGCCCCAAGGAGTAAAGGCCCCATGGGGTACTCTCACATACCATGTATATTGGCCATACAGTGGCGGTTTGTCCAGAGGCAGAGGCTGGTCGCCCCTTGCAAGGCGCTCACCTCCAAGGAGGAGGTCAAAGCTGAAGACGCCAGGCTCGCTTGTCCTTAGTGGCGCTCTGAAACGGTTGTTTGCTGGGTTTCCGCCTGGCAGAAGCCTAGGGGCCTCCCCAAGCAAACGGGAGCGTTTCCCAGTTTCGACATGGATTAGCTGGTGTCAAAACCAAGGGTCCACCTTTCGGACGGAAGGGTTTCCTAGTGTTGACGCATCGTGTTGCTTCAAGGGGAGTGGCGTTCACAGTTGATTCCAGGCCGTTGGCAGAGCAGACAGCCAATAGCTTCTCTGGTATGGCCATTTGGCCCCGCCTTGTCCTGGACCCCGTGGCTTTGGTTGCAGCAGCGCGCTTGACAATTCCAACCGTCCTTTCACACATCTTTGCAGCATACCCCGGGCTACCTGTGAAAGGAACTCATCATTGCAGGAAGTTTGCTCAAAGGCGTGTTGGGAAATGTTAGGAGGGTTCCTGTCAAAGACTCGTGGCCCGTGGCTGCTTCTTGTTGCACGCTACGTTTGATGCGAAGAGCCCTCATCCTTCCCGCCCCAGTTCTTTATTTATCTTCCAGAGGGAGTTGTTCAGCTTTCGCATCGCCACCCTTGTAAAGCCTCAACTCGCCCCTTTGCAGCCCTGAGCCCTCAAGCTGAGGAGGGAAAGATCGTGGTGGAGTCGCGAGGGCCCAAGGGGGAGCATCAGAAGAGCCACTGGCCGACACTTCTGTCGCTGATGTCTCCCACCCCTGTGCCAGTGCAGCAGCTCGGCGAAGGAAAAAGACGGCGGAGGGTGGCAGTCCATAGAAGAGACTGGCACAAGTTCAAGCTCCAAAGAGCTTCCGCAAAAACCACGCCCATTTGTGGGGCAGGTTTGGCCTAGATATGACAATCTAACAACACTGCGTGGCTCGCAATGTGAACTCTGGAGCGCAAGAAAGTCATACGCAAGTCGCCCACGTGTTTGTTCTTTTTTCTTGGCAACAACAATTACCCGTCCCTGTGCTGCAGATTTAGAGTCTCGGACGTGCGTGAAACTCTGGGTGTGGTACCGGGCATCGGCATTTCGACCTTCCTTGCGTTGGTTTTCCGGAAGCGAAAGAAATGAACGGGCCACTAGGACAAGGTGCTTTGAAGTTGACAGACAGGTGCCACAGTGCAAGGGAGCCGACGCGAGGAGTTGTTCGCAGTTTGGTTTCCAAAGCCTGGCTGGCGCACTGGACTGGCGTGGAAGAGGGTGTAGGGTGCATTGCAAAAGGCCACTCTGGGGTTGCCTTTAGCCCACACCAAGGCCGGAGGATGTCTTGCAGATCTCGGAGGTTGCAGAGCTGAGTCAAGACCTCCTCGTTCCAGTCAAGTATTCCTTGGAGGGCCAGCTCATCAAAAAGGCCTAGCAGCGGTGCGCCCAAGTTGGATGTGACGTTTAGCCTGTGAACTGCCAGAAGGAGCGCAGTTTCGCCGGAAAAGAAGGGTTCGGTCGGCCAGCGAGCAAAGAATGATGCAGGCAACAGCTCATGCACGCTTGTTTGTGTCTATGCTTGTGTCTGAGAGGGTGGGTGGGCGGGCGGGCGGGCGGGCAGGCGGGCTGGCGTTTGTTTTCGGTGTTTGCAGGATGTTTGAACATACCCTTGACGAGGCATTGGGAGGCTTACTTACTGGTCATTTCAACCGGCCATGGATGGCATCAGAACGCCGCAAGTGAGGCATTAGACATCACTAATATGCTCTGTTCACGTTCTTCTCGGACAGTTCACTTGCATCAATAGTATCCACAGGCATGATCAAAGATGACTGGGGTCCCTCCTGCAAGTTTCAATGCCCGCTCCTTCCTCAAAGCAACTTTAAAGACGCTTTACAGACCCTTCCTTGTGAGCATTGCAATCTCGCATGCTGAGGACCGGATGAGGATAGCTCCTACGCTTGTTTGTTGCCCGGGGCCTAGAAATCAGTGGTTGATGGCTGTCAGTTGACGCTAAGGGCCAGGGTTCAGCTCCCATTTTGTTCAGCCAATAATTAGATGACATTTGTAGTTGTAGGGGTTGCCTTTCTTTTCCTAAGTTCTTCGATGCAAGCAGGCGCGCCCTGACCTCCGGTGCCCCCAAGAAACAATAATTGACAATCGCTCGGTCTTTCAGGTGGCCTGCATACCTTGTGATTGTGGGTTTCGGTTTCATGGCCGTGTTTGGCTTTTGTTTAAGGATGCATGGTGTAGAGGCAACGAACAGCAGCAAGGAACATGCAACTATTTGATGTAAACCCTCGGCAACACTTGGCCGCATGCATGTTCAGGTTCTAGCATGGTGGCAGGCGTTGATATCCCAGGCATGGAGGTTGGACAATGACCAAGTAGATGGCACAATACTCAAGCAGTAGATTTTGGAAGTGCTGTAGGAAAGTAGAACATCAGAGCTTCTGCTTCTGCTAGTGGGCGCCCTGGGAAACAGGTGGTGTAGCTTTGTGTTTGAGCCTTCGGTCTTCAGTTGGCTGAGGCTTTGTCAACTGTTGATTGTGTCGTGGGAAGTCTGCATGATGGAGGTGGGCTTGGATGGGGGAAACAAGTGCCGTCCAACGAACGGGTCAACGTGTTTGGCAGGAAGGAACAGCCGCCGATGTAAAAGGCAGCACTAGGCGAAAAAGAGGCCATAGGCACTTCATTGCAACTGGGTATCACTAGTTGCAGCGGAGACATGGACAGATTAGTGAATGGCAAGCCGCTGCAAAATATACCTGCATTGGCCGGGCTGAATCTGACAACTCGCAGCAATGCGCGAGTTCATACTCGGCGTCGGCAGCGGGCCGTGTTGATCGATATATATTATATATATTGATATTGATGTGTTGGTTGCTGAGGTCGCAGCACACGTATTTGCAGACACTAAGTGCTGGCCTTAGATGTGCCACCGCCAAGGCAAATAAGGTGAAAAACGCCATGGTCAATGTATTGCGTTGAGAGGAGTTTCCCCTCAAAGGAGCTTTGACTTGTGACCAGGTTGCGTGGCATGGGCAGACAGTAGATTCGTTAGGGTTATTCATCATCGCTGTTGTATGTTCTTCTGTCAGAGGTGCTGTTTCGCGTTGGCTTGGGAGGATGCAAGCATCGCTTCCAGCTTACTTGCCGCAGACGTTGAGAGGGATTTCCTTGAAGCAAACAAACATCAACAGGAGCCACGGTTGCGAATAGAAAGCCGGCCACTTCTACAGGGATTGATCAATATTCCTGCCCCCCCGCATGACCACGGGTAACTTTTTCGATGTGGGAAAGATCTGGTTTGCCCTAATGGGAATTTAACCCATCGAGCTTGGTGCCAGGCACCAGTTTGCTCATGGTGGTCATCGCTTCTTTTGACAGGACGGGCCCAGCTGGTCTTTCGGCAAGCACGGGGCCAGTTTGGCAGAGTAGAGCCTTTCCCCTTGTTCGTTGATTGGGTACGTTCATGCAGGTGCGGCCGTGGGCATGTGCAAAGCGCGTGTAAAGCGTCGGTTCTATATGGTTCCAGGGCATTCCTTTTGCTGGAGTGGTGCCTCATTGCTTTGGCAACATATTCCTTTCTTCAAGGCCCAGCCACACGATCTAGTCCTCACGCTTAGCCCTATTGTTCACCAGACTCAGCCGGTCTTCAGTGAGACTCAGCCGGGGGGAGGATGACATCAATCCAGTTGTGTATTAGCCGGCGCCTCAGCAGCCTGCGGCCTTTAATCGGATAGATCAGGTGGCGGCAGTGGGCAGGAGGCCCCCGGCTTGTAAGCCTTAGCCTCACAAGCGAGAGGTGGACCTGAACACTAGAATCCCCAGTTGAGACAGTACCAAGAACCTGCGCCCTTGCTGCTCCCTTTGAGGCAAGTGGAACTTGTCGGCTTTCAGTGAAGGTGTCTGGGACCCTTTTGGGGAAGCAACCTCAGCATGTCCTCCTTGTTTTGACTCGCCGTAGGACTAAGGTGCACCTTCCACGCAGTCACGTGGAGGCACTTGCCCGTTTGGGTGGTGACACGTTCGGAACGGGTGATCCCCTGAATAGCATGTAAGAAACCACCCGCAGATTGAGGCGAAGATAGAAATGATGGTTCCATGCCAGACAAATTTCGGGTCTGCTTTTTGATGGGAAGCCGCGGCTGGCGAGGAATTCAGCATGCAAATGTATCTGACATTTCTGAGGTTTGCTCACCGACGTGGAGTTTATCGAGCTCAGGGAGTCTTGGGAAGGCGTCCTGGTCGTGCCGCGCGCCCAGCCGGACTAACGGCAGCACAGCACTGACAGCGATGAGAGAAGGCCCTTCTTCAACCCCCCGCAGCTGCAGAGGAATAGTGACTTCTCTCGCGCTATTTGAGACAGGGAAGTAAAACTGGTTAGGTTAGTCTACTGGTGGTTTCCCTTGAAACCATGCAGCCAGGCATTTGCCAAATGCCCCCAGGGAACGCTCATCTTTTTGAAATATGCCTGGCTCTTGCTGATGGCGCAGTGGAAAGGTGGTCCATTGTGGGCTTGGTGGTGCTGTACATGCTGATTTGGGTCCTCACTGCGCGGGGCCGCGCCAATGCTCAGGCACGTGTGCGATATCCTTGCCAAGCAGGGAGACACATCGGCTTTCGTGCAGATGGTGGTTCCAGGGGCAAGAACACCTGAATCATTTGCTCGCGGACATTGGATGAAAGTTTTGGCTAAATTGCAAGTATGACGGCTGAACGTAGGTCAGGAACACAGCCCAAAGCAAGCCGTCACCAGCCCGGCGTTGCCCCGTGTGGACTGAGTGTATGCTTCGCATTGGGTCGCTGTCTGGGGGTGGCATGGGTGGATCCCCGAAGTTGACCTCCCGGATTGTTGAAACGCAGTGTCCCAAGGTGCCTGTGTGCAAAGGACGGAATGATACATCAGCCCCCGAACAAATAGATATTGATCACTAGGGTCCATTGTTTTGCACCAGGGGATGCCACTGCGATCCTTGCGTCAGATGTGGCTGTAAGAGTTGGCTTCTTACGTGTCTGGAATACAAGGTTTGAAAGGAGGAAGACAGGTGCATTTGTGTCATTTTCCATATTTGCAGCTGGATTTTTTTGTTCGGCTCGCTGCCTTGCTCATTTGGTGCTGGTTTAGTATTGGAGGTGCTTTGTTTTGTAGTGGTTGTGTGGGGTTTAGTAAGTATGATCTAGTGCTGCTTGCAAAATGAACCCTGCTTTGACCGCAGCTAGGGTCGACGGAAATCCAGGAGTTCAGAATTGGCTTAGTATTGGCTAATTCAAAGTCAATATTAAAACATAGGGGTCGGGCAAACGCTGTTCTGCATTAATTGGGACCTGTGGGGAGCTCTAGGCAGAGAGAGAGAGCTAGATAGCTACCAGGGTGCATTTATTTTTTGGGTTGGAGAGATTCATTTAGTCGACCTCCACTGTAGGAAGGTTCTCAGAACTCTTCGAAGCTTCTAGGTGTCCATCGTGCGCGTTAAGAAAACCTTTGGTAGTTGCCTTAACAGTTTAGGGGTGGCTTCCATGGCAATGCATCCCGTTGTCGGATCCTGTCGGCTTCGGGAGGTGCAAGCGGACATTGACTATGTGGGGGATTTAGTGCGGGTCCTCAGGGGTGGTGGCTCTGCCGGGTGGCACGCCGATGAAAAGGCAGACTAGCAATGACCTGCTTAGATCAATGGGCTGGCTGGTCAAGCAAGCCCACTTAGCCATTACGGGCGATTCACGCGTTTCACTTCTGGTTTGATCGCCAAAAAGGAACAAGGTTCACCTTTGCATGCGGCTGACTTGATAAACACACATCACTGAATCCGCATGAAGTACCTCGATAGCCTGTCAGTTGGGCGTGTGTTTGAGTCCTGCCAGTGCAGGTTAACCTTGCGCTGCACATTCCTCCAGCCGCTTCTTCCCCTTGCAGGGTGAAAGTAGACGGCACTTCCAATGTTGGTTTAGTCATCCCCCCTCGCCTAACAAAATGAAAATTGTGCCATCCACATTTGACACTTTCGACTCAGAACTCAAATCTGTTGGCTTGGACAAAACAATCACCCAGGTGTAAGGACAGGGGGCTTAGGACACTGCGTCCACGCGCGCGAATTCGTTGTTTGAGGTATGGCCGACAGGCGCCCCCGTTGGAGCTGCTGCGGAGAGGCGGCGATCCACAGCAGATCGTCGACCGAGTTTCACCATGTGGGCGGCGACATCCCGTTGTTTTCCCTTCAACATTCAGCCAAAAGGGGGTCCACCCTTTGGAGAAGCACTCAGTTACTTTGGCTAACCTTTCCTTTGGCAGTTCTTTAGAAGCAATACGCAAAGGAGAGCATACCCTCCTTGTTTTTGGCTCAAATTACATTTTTCGGGATGCTGACATTTTGCAAATCCGATTTGCTGCGAGGCCTGAAGGCGACCGTTTGGCCGGGGGCCCGGCCTGATGTTGCAGAAGGTGCCTGTCATGGCGGGTAGCATCATTTACATGAGGGGGTTGCGAAAAGACACTTTTTGGGAGGCAACCAGATGTGAGTTTCCAGTGGGGTGCGGGAGTGGGGTAGGTGTAGAATGAAGCGTGTCCATGTGAATGTTTTGCCCGGCTGAGTCTGTCTTTTGCAAAGGCTTTGTTAGCTTTGCGATTTGAGCTGATGGCCCACTGTGACTGGTTGAGCAGGTGGGTGTGCTTGAAGCCTGGGCAGGGTGACTGTCCAGCTTGATCTAACAGCGCACTCTGATTCTTGGTTCCTGCATTGGGTGGTTTGTTTGTTTGCCGGAGCCAACCAGTTTGGCACCGTTTTGGCCACCTGGAGCGCTTCTGGTTGTTCACTGGATGGGTGTCACCCTTCCCCAAAGTTGTTGTTTCATGAATCATGAAGTAAGTGTAGTTGTCGCGAAGACTGTTGCTCACCATTTTATTTTCGGCAGCCGCGGTTGCTGCCTGAAGTTGTTTTGCCTGTTGTATCATGCAGGGAGACCCGTGCTGGTGTCAAGCAAAAACTGAATTGCGCATGTGCGCGCGTATTTGTCGCTGTTGAGTGACTTACTGCTGTTGATCATCACTGTGCAAGTCTGGAAGCACGGCACTATGAACACACGCACACTGTGTGTGTGGCAATGAAGTGGCCGCAAGTAGCCAGCTGCAAGGCAGTATATAGTGAATGTGGGGTTGATCATTGCTCATGCATGCGAATGTTTGCAAGGGTTTCTCTCCTGTCCCTTGTTTGGCTGGCAAATTTGGCACTCAAGACCTAGAGGCACATCACCATGGTGTCACAGCCTTGAAGCGTACGCATGCGGAGCAACTTGTTTCGCAAGTAATACACCCAGTGCTTGACATGCATGTGGCAGCAAAAGAGGGAAAATGTAGGAATTAGCCAAGTACCTGTGTAGCTTCACCAGACAGGACTGTACGACGTCACCAGCTGTCAGAAGACGACACCCCGAAGCTGATGCACCCAGCCAGTGTCGATTCCACGGATAATGTGCAGTACATACAGCCTGCTTACAACAAGGGGAGAAATCAGCTTTGCTTGGATTGCCATGCGCCTGCCATGGCAAGAATCCTTCTGGCGGGGCTGCTGGTTTGCGCACCTCGGAAGATAATGATTCCAATGCCAAGAGGGATGGACATCGCCAAGGGGAGGGATTTGTGGCATTGTCTTTCTCAAAATAGGGAATCCCCTTTCGGGCTGGTCTGTAAGGAAGAAGGGTTAGCCCACTACAAACAGTCAGGGGGTCTTCCTGTTTTGGAACACATGGAGCAGCCTGCCAAGAAGATTTGTTCTTCGCATTGTGACTTGGCCAGATGTTGCATACATGTTCAGCGTGTTGTTCTTGTAGATTTCGTGTATTTCTCCTGTTGGAGGTCCCAACCTCTAGCTGTTAGGCCTCAGCGCTACGACCACTGCCCTGCCCTTCTCACCGGCAGCTTTTCGCCAGCTATGCCGCGGGGATGCAAGCGGGAGGGTGGCGATATTGATCATGCATGTAGACGCCACGAATCTGCCCCCAAGAACACCATCTACAGTTTGCAAGGGAGTGAAGTTTGTTTAAAGGTGCAGCGTTAAGTAGAGATTTGTCCGGAGGACCATGGTGGGAAATTGACTCATCTAGGCTTAGGTTTGAAATCAGAATGTCGGGCCGGGGGGGAGGGGGGTGGGGAACAATTGTAACTTTGACTGGCCGAGTGCCGGCACATCGAGCGAGATTTTCCTGGGTGTCTGTGAACAGACACTTTACGTTTTTTTGGTGATTTCAAAGCAGCATGATGCCAATATTGCCTGCTAGCAATTCATAGCTGAATTGGGATGCGCATAAAATCACTCCCTCATTGCAAGTTAGCGGACTGAACTCTTTTAATCATGTCCGACATGTCTCAAAAACTCTTGAGCATCTAGACTGGCGAGCATCATCCCCGAGCTGGCGAAGCTTTTTGGTGAGTTTGTGTTGATGCTGCTCCGCGCACTGACACATTACATCTAAATAAGTCACCAAAAGCAGCAAACCCATAGAGACCACTTCCATGATTCATTTTCCAATGTTCAACTGACCCAAGCTGTGATGATGTTTCCAGATATGCGGCTTTGCGGGGCTGGCTGCAGGAGACCTTACAGGATACGCTGGAGCATTTCCTGGGGTTCTACGGGAGCTACAGCCCCCCGTCCTGGGAGACAGGGGAGGTGGGGGGTTGTTCAGCAAAAGGGACCATGCGGAGGACACACCAAAACACGAGCGAACATACACCGACTTGTTAAGCTACTGGTGTGCCAAGCCCTGACGACGTGAAGACAAACATTCACATATCTTAGCCACAAAAGTGTAAGGTTTATGAAGGGATGCAACACGTTGGGTTGTGCTTGGACACTTTCTCTGGTGCATTTTTGAGGTGTTGGATGGTCATCGGCCTAAGCATGGCCCATGGGGTTATGGATTCGCAGTATCCTGAGGCCACGGCCGGGCCAAGCTGGTGACGGAGCACATCCGGCTTTTCCAGCTTCATGCGCTGGCGCAGGACTTCCTGGCACCTGGGACCCCCAAAACGGCCCTGGCGGGGACGATGTCGAAAGTTGTGTGTTTGTGTGTGTGTGCGCCGCGCAGCCGTGCAAGTGTGTGAACGTGCATGTGCGTGTGTCTAATGCTGTATACATATCACATTGCCCAAGTGACCGTGCTTGTGAAACATGGATGCGGACACATTGCAAATAAATGTGTATATTGCATGATTGCATACAACGTTGTATGCACACATGGTCTTGCGAATGTGTTGGTGTCGCTTGTTCTTCCCATTTGAACAGTCCCACTCAGTAGCTGACCTCTGGTGAGTGAGAATCCTCACGTTGGTACTGTAACTTTCGGTTCCTTGTTACAGTCTTGTTGTTTGCAGGCCGCTTGAGCCAGCCGTGTGTTGTTTGGTGGACCTCTTGCAGAGGGAGTTTCGCCAGTGCCTTTTCTGAGCTGGAAGAGGGCGTTCCGGATGTCACACCGAGGAAATTCACGAGTCCTTCCGGCAGTTTGCGCACCTGAGCTGCACGCGTTGGCGGGGGCGGGCTGCCTCGGATGCCGAGGTCTTGGGAGTTTTGGCTAGGGAAGTCCTGCCAAGAAAGCGCCAACAGAAGCAAGCTTCATTGCCTGAAGCGGCAGTGTCAAACTGCATGAGGGCAATCTTGAACTGCCGTTGCCATACTTTTCGCAACGATTTCTCAATACGTAGCTAACCCGCAATGAAAAGACCTTTCTTCGCACGCGACCTGCTGCAGGTCGGAATGGTGGGATGGCTTTGCTGGTCATGATTTCTGTGCCGTTCCTAAGGGAATAGGTCAGCTGTACAAGCCTGATCAGGGAAACTGCAACCTGCGCAAACTGTTCTTACAATGGAGCCTTCCACCTTCTTGTGGGCTCGCATGCAATACCGCTTTCACGTGCCAGGCTGCTTTCAAATGTTTGCCATGGTTGAAGTTGTCAGATGTACACGGGCCGGTCACCTGCTCATTGGGGACCTACGCACTGGGTCACCAGGCAAATGTTGACGTGACCTTAATTTCAGAGCCTTGCCCCTTGGCTTGTTTTTGGGCACCAGGTGCCTGATACTATGTCCGTCAGCTTGTGCCAACGCAAGCGACTTGGAGACGGCCTTCTCCAGCGTGAGGATGGTTGAAAAGCCCCCTGGCTCGATCAGTCTGCGTGTGTGGTTGTTTGTGTTGTGTGTGCTGAGATTGTTCGGAGCCACCATGGCCAGGGTGGATATGTGACACCTTTTTTGACTGGCCAGCAACAACACTGCAGCAACACCCATTTCAAGTTCTTTCGGCCAGACTTTAACCTGGCAAGAATCATATTTGCCTCCTCCGGGAGGTGCTTGCCTTCAGGAAAGCCAAGAGTAAGGGGATCTTTTGGAGTCTTTCTCATGTTGTTGACCGCCAAGACTAGGTACCCATTACCCATGGCGCGGTTTTGGTCTCTTTTGATATGCATTTGGGGAACCCCCCTCGCTCCCGCCTCGGCAGTTCCAAGGAGCAAGGCTTGGGGCGAGGTGGTTTAGAAATCAACACCCCCCTTATGGCATTACCGAGGGAGCAAAGAAGCCAAAGCGGCACCATGCTGAGAGATTGCGAGTAGATAGATCAAGGAACAATGTGTTTCTCTACTACCAACACCCGCTTCGCATTGGACAAGAAGTCCATGAACAACCATAGTGAAAGGGAGAGTGTTGGAAGACGACCATGCTCTTGAGAAGGCCCCTTGTCCACTTCCCTGATGGTTTGAGAAAAGTGCCGGCCATTCATGGACCCCTGAACAAATACTTAAGTCACTAGGGCTGTACTTACGTGACAGGGCCCGTCAGGCTGAACAACCTTCAGCTAGACCTCCAGCTGCTGCTGGATGACTCCTCAGCAGACTTCCTCACAGCTTCCCAGATGTACCTCCGGGAGGCGGAGGGATGAACCGTTGCACTAGCGGAGGAAGTAGGTTGTCCGGTTGGTTTGTCGGCTAGTTCTGAGGTTGCTTTAATTTGATTCTGGGTTGCTTTGGCAGGCGAAGAGCTATGGCACCAAGCTTATGGTGGGAGGCCCGGCCCAGTCAGCCGAAGGCAGGGACCAAACGCCAAATTGGGTTGGGGGGGGGACTGCGGGACTACGGCATAAAAAGTTGTTCCATATAATGATGAATACCATGATGCAATAAATATTGCACTACTCCATCACCGAGGTTAGAGTTACTCGTACAAACGACGTTTGAACTGCTCGATCGTGAGTGTAATATTCATAGAGATGGCATACTGTCGAGGAGTAGCGCTGGTGGTCAATGGGAAACTCAAATAGGCGATGCTAATGTTGGTCGCGTGCGGGTCAAGGATAGGTTTGTTTTAGGTGCCATTTTTGTTGTTTGTTACAAGTTAATGTGTCCTGGTCAAGCGAGGTTTTGCTTCATACTTGAATTTTGCTGGTAATGGCTCAATGGAAATATACACCCGATGCTACAGAAGTTGTTTTTTTTTTTAATTGTATTTAAAAATAAAAATAAAAAATGGCACATGATGATTGTGTAGCGGTTAGTATTGGTGAAAGTACAAACGCCTCAAATCAGCACTTTACGTGCGATGGTACTGTGTCAAGCACCTTATTGAACAAGCCAGTTGATGTATGAGGTGATGTATATACAAACGGCGATCCAGCAATGGTTTCTGGTAAACAGGATGAAGTCCGTCAGATTCAACCTGTATCAGGTAATGCTTCATTATTACAAAATTTGCCGAGTGGCAATGCTTATTTCAGCACATAAAAATATGATTGATTATAATGCTGAAATGTATATTGATACACATGGTTTCATAATAAGGAAAAGCAACACTTCAAGTTCGTTTAATTTTGTTGTCGGATTACATACAACTGACAACAGTGAATTTTGTGGCGATTGGACTATTGACGGTGGCATGACTTTTGAAATTGCTTATAAAATATATTTAGAGGTTTTAATAGTGATGTAGGATGACTTACTCTTGTTTACTAGATTTGATATGATTGTTGCAGGTTGATTCAGAATACTTGCACATATGTTCATTATATTACACTGTACATCAGGTGGTAAATCATAAAATGTCACTACGCTATTTAGAAATGAATTTCAATTCTGGCAAAACAACACATGGTATTGACAACTTTGGAAATCATATTAAAATCAATCCAACTATGTGGTGCATCATTTGCCGCTTTATGATACACACCCAATCATTGGGCTTTATCGACAATAGCGAAGATTTCCTCAATGAACGACATGTACTCTGATACATTCTTTAACTTGAAGATATACAACGAACATTCAACCTGATGATTGGTGCTAATACTCGGTATTTTTGAACGCTCAAACAGCAACTAGTAGCATCGTGCCTTCCTCTCCTTGCCAGTCAGTGTAACAATTTACTATTTCAATCGAATCTGGCTCATCAGCCAAATCATCGACAATGATTAGCATTGAATGTAATTTCTGCATTTTTTGGTCTTTCTTATGGTGACTTGTCCTTCTTTGTGTGTTGGTGATGACTTCCAGTTCTTTTGGTGTCAAGATGTAATTTGGCTTTTTCGTCCTCAACTTTCATTTGGTCTTTTTTGTATTTCTTCACTTCAACAAAGGTAGATTCATTATGGACGGAAGGGCTGAAAATGAATACACATGTGTGAGAAGGGTTTGAATTAAACTGTTTGCAACCGTTGATGAAGCAACATCGATTGAACAAAAGGGTAGCTTGGCACGTGTTCATATTCAGATTTGTTGAAGTCGTGTTGAGTTGTGTTTATTGGTTTTACTATTGGAACATTACTTTTGTGCCGCGTCCCCCGAGCAGTCTAACATGCTTGAAGCAACTAGTTTAGTTATGAATTTATCTTATTATTTAATTTGGGTAGAAGTTTTCCAGATTCTACAAGAATAATAAATGAAGTAGAGAAAGTTGAGCAAGTAGTGATAACCGAGAATAATCTCAACATGGTGCTATTACTCCTTAGAATTAATCAAGTTAGGAATGCACTACATCAAGAACCACGTAAATATTTTCTGTGAATGGGAAGGAAGAAACAACAAAAATACACCTATTCCTGTGGTCCTTCTTCCGAGGAAGAAGAAGAAGAAGTTGTGAAGCAAACATCAGTCATAGAGTTTGTGTGTCCAATGTGTCAGAAGATGATAGAAATGCAAAATGAAATAGAAATACATAGGAAAGGAAACTGCACATGCTCACGCATTCCAACAGGGTTCAAAAAAAGTAAGAAGGACAAGACAATGAACATTGACAAACTAACGATTGCGATATAAAATTAAAAATCATGAACATTAACATGTAAATAAACAATTACCAATTAAAATTAGAGTTTTACAATATTGATTATGATTCAGAAACAGGGGTTCATTCCTAATCATTTACTAAAAAAAGAAGGGATTTAGTTAGCCCTTCAACCATGTAGGTTTTAATACCCCTTGCTTTTGACACACTGACACACTTTCACCTTGTCGTTCACTTCTATGCTGGGATACCTTCTTGTGTTATTTTCTCCCAGTTTGAGATTTACTTTGCATTGAGCTCGTTGTCGTCCTTGTGCGCTTCGGTGGGGCCATCTTATGGGTTATTCTGATTCTTTCCTAAGCTAAAAAGCTGGTGGCCATAGAGAAACCCCATTTTTTAAACGTATTTGACACATCATCAGTGATTTAGTTGAACTTTATAAAGACCTGTCAATGAGAAGGATGTGGACAATATTGTTGTGAACAGGTATGCCTTGTTAGGGTCATTGCATTGCTGGTGGGATTGAATGTGGAACAGAATAAGAACGCATGCATTCATATTCAATCATAATATGATTAGTCCTCATTTTAATCATAAGCAAGAAGGTGAAGCTACTTAAAGGAAAAAACACTTCAAATAGTAAGGGGAACGTGAGAGAGGGTAACATGTCGGATAATGATTGACAACTGGACTAACTTAGCTGAGTAAACAGTGTTAGCCGTCTCTCCTTTAAGAGACTTACAAAGGAACTGGACACCTTCTACTAATACTGAAGTTGTTGGACAGCGTAAACTCCGGAAATGTAAATTGCAAAGTCTCACCACGCGATACACAACCAACAGTTCGAAGGTGATAAGGCATGTCTCATACGCATTGAACCCATCAAGAAAAACATGGAACCAATGAGCAATGCAGTAAAACAAAGGTTGACATGGATGTTAGGGCAAATGTTGAATATGATACTGGTATTGATGCATGTAATTTTGTATACATCAATACATCATGACAAGTAAGGAAAAACAGCAGATTACAATTGAACATGCAGTAAAGGAAATTAAAGGAAACATGATCATGAGCAAACCAAAACTTGCAATGATATAATCTATTCCATTTACAGGATTACTAAGCCTTAAATTTGTTGTTGTTGTTCCTTTTTGTTAAATTATATTTAAACAAATAAGCATCGTATTTTGTTTTACAACCTTTCAGTATACTGTATTGTTTTTGCCTTTGACAAACTTTCAATGACAAAACAATGTCGAAACCACTGCACCACCCAACACCCCAGACATAATAACAACTCGGAGGGTTAACTCTTGCAAATGGAAACGCATGGCCCCCTCAGCTCAACAATGAAACAGGCAAAACAAAACACAAACAATTGACCCCCCAACAATATACCCATGATCCGCAACCTTTGCACTAGTCGCCAAGACTAATTGAGGGTCCCACAGGAGAAACAAGCTTTTCCTGGAGAAGCCAAGAATCGCTGCATTTTTTCGGATGCACAAATCCTGGCAAGGGCGTTGGGCAGACCACGCATCCCCTGAGGCATTGACTGGGACGAGGCCCAGACAACTTGCGTGGGGCGCGTGGCTTCACGGATTCTCTTCCCGGCGATGCAGGCCGGATGCCAATCCGGACATCGGCCCCTGCCGGAGCCGTGAGGTGTCAATGCTGGTTCACCAAGAGACCCTGCTAGCTCGAAACACAAGAAAAATAGAAGCAGGATCGCCAGGCTTTTTCTGAATTTCCCGACGCCGAAGCTGTCAGTTGGGGTGAATAGTAGTCTTTGCTGCTGAAGTGCTGAGTGGCACAATTCTAAGGCATGCCTTCTCGACGCAATGGCACAGAGAGAGAGAGAGGGCGACCAGAATATCAGTTGTCATGGAATGAATACTTTGAGAGCGTTACAAGTTTGAGCACATCAAGCGAATTAGCCAATCCCGGGCGTACCAAAAGGTTCCAACACAGGAACTCCACCTTGCTCTTAAATGGTAGTTCCTTTTGCAATATGTTTGGGACTGGCAAAGCCATAATCAGAGGGGCTTCAAACGCACTTTCCATGTGTTTGGCATTTTGGCAAGGATGGCTTTTTTGTGATTCGGCAGCCACTGAATCAACATAGCCATACCTGCTGCTGGCAGGTGCTTTCCCTGCAGCGGCTTGGCATTGACGTTTCCTTTCCACGTCAGCAGTCGTCAGCAGTAGGACGAATGCGTATCTGTGAGGGCTCGCCTTCGCAGGAAAGTGTTCGTTTTGGTGACCTGTTGTTTGGTGTTTTGCTTTGAGAGCCAGCCTATGGAGGTAGCACTTTGTGCCCAAGCGCCCTGCAACCTTGCCAGGTCATGCGGTAAACCCTGGCTAAGCTAAATCCAGAGAGGATGGAACAGCAGCTGTGTGGATGCGGGTGGGAACAAGCGAGTCGAGCTTTCCCAAATCCAGTTGCGCACCTGCCAGGTTGTCAGGGTGAGCAAGAGTCGCTTCATGGCAACTGCCCAAACCCATTGGCCCACTCTTGGCCAGTGCTTGGTAGAGGCTTGGGCTTGGGGTAATGGGCTAAGGTCTAAAAACAATGACAGCCACATCATCCTCTCCGGGGTGACACGCGACCCTTTGGACCCGGCAGCGAGCTCGGGTTCCTACATTTGTCCGAGAAGCTTGGCTAGAGCGGCTTGGGTCATTTTGTGAGAACATGCTTGCCACAAAGCGTGTTGGTGCGCACTGGTGGTTTCATTGCCTGCTTACCTACCCACACACAGACGAATGGGACCTGAGCGGAGGTCCCCTGGACGACAATTCTCCCTTCTCTGTGCTAGCCTTGTTGCTCTCTTCATCCCTTTGGCCTTTCCCAGTTGCCTCAGCATGTGGGGCGTTGGTCGGTCATGTTGGTATGAAGCACTGCAAGCGGAACAAGGGACACATTGCCGAGATTTGGTTGGCTCGCTGGCAATATTTAGTTTGCACACCGTGCAAGGAGCTTCTTCTCGGACTACCTTGTCAAAAACACGGGAATGGCAATGGCCCTCCGACAAAGTATAGCTTCCTTTTTGTAGGTCCTTCTTCAAAATGAGAGCATACCAAAACCCACGGGACAGTTGCTGGTGTTTCAAGAAGCTGACTGTTGGAAACAATGAGAAATCAACCACTAGAGTTGGTGGCGTTCCTTGGGAATGGGTGTGTCCGAAAATAAGCGTTGAACCATCACACCTCTTCTTTGTGTGTGCTCGTTTGATGGGTTCCCCACTAAAGAGTCGTCAACCCCAAAAGGACCCCCCTCTGTTTCTAGCAGGGGCACTGAAGTGACAACCAGCTGAGGACGCAGCGGGGAGCTCTCCTTCGGCGTGCTGCGATCCATGGCCTCCCAGGGAGCTGCGCAGTTGCTGCAGCTGGGCCCCGGTGGCCGGGAAGGCGCCACAGGTCAGCTTTGCCAGGCTCGGCATCTCAAGTCTTTCCACGTGCGAGCAGCCAGTGACCCCGTTGGACGGACATTTTAGTGGGGGCCTTTTGACCCACGTAGGCCTATTGTTGGAGGATGTTTCGTGAGACGCTTGGCCCGTAACCTAGAAATCGCATGCAGGCCGCCTCACCCTTCCTGAGCCAAGACGGGGACCTCTCCACGGCTTCGGGCTGGCCCCGGCGGTGGCGCTTCAGCCCCTGGGGCTCAGCGCAGGTGCCGGAGGTGGTGCAGCAACTCGGCAAAGCCCACGGCATTGCCAGACTCACGTGACTCTTTTTCATGTCTCATTTTCTTTTATTTTTTTGCCAGAAGCAAGTCAGCGTTGGTAGGGGGTTGGTTTGCCAACGGCTTGGGGTGGGTGCTTTGCTCTGTATATCTCTTGCGCCTGTTGCATGGAGGATCAAAGCGTATTTTGGCAGTTTGTCGCAACATCCCAAGCCTAGTTACAGGCTGTATTTACAGGCCACAACTGAGATGTTTTTTTACTCAGGCTGCTGGAGCTGATCGAGGCGAGTCGCATGGACCTGTCACATTCCTTCATTGCGGTGAGGCCCTCGGGGAGGCTCGGCTGGTATCCTTTTGGGGCAGGGGCAACCTCATATGGCGGGGTGAGGGGAATTGGAGTGCTGCTTGCCTAGAGATCTCGGACTTCAGCTTGGTGAATTGTAGTTGCACCAGTATTTGGATTGTCGGCGTAGTAGGGTTTGGATGCCTTACACCCTGTTCTCCACTCAAGGCACACACACACACACAAGTTCCAGGGCAGGTGAGGAAGTCTTCACGGAAGGGCGGGGTTGCTCGCCGAGCCTAAGCCCCAAGCGGACTTGCACATGGCGTGCACTTGAGGAACGGCCAGTGGGCTCAGAACTTCAGCTGCACGGGCAAGGACGTCCACTTTGACCCCAGCCTTTGCTTGGAAGTCCAGGGCTATGGCGGCTACGCGCCTCGGAACGGAGACCAGCTGCAGCGGCAGTGGGGACTCGGGACAAGAGGGCAAGTGCATTTTTCCTTGGCTTCGCCCATTTGTTGCCCGTGAGATTTCTGATTGGCAAAACTGGTTGAGCTGCCTGGTGATGTTGGTAAACACTCCGCAAGGGTCAAATGTTATTTCAACAAGTTGGTTTGCGGGTTTCGAAACAGAACAAAGGCACCAAGTTTTTGTTTTTTGTTTTTTTCCCTACCCCGTCGCCTCGCCACTCAACATGGTCAACGCAGGCTGCCCTTTGTGTCCCTGTCAGGGCGCTGGGCGGCAGTGCAGGTGTTTTTGAAGTAAAGTTGAGCGGTTCAAGCATGCATCTCGCATGTTTGACCCATGCAGGTTGTTTAAACAATACGTGCCTAACATGTTGAAGCATGGGGGGCTTTGCGCATTGGGTTGGCCCCCATGGTCACGTCGCCAAGGTCTTCAGTGTGAACATCCACCCGCCCTACAAAGGCGAGCTCCGGGTTGCCGGGCGGCGCCTCGGGGACGCCGCCCAGGCGCAGCCCAGCAACTTCTTCGACGCGCTCGCCTGAGATCGCTGGCGGGTTGGGCCGCCACCCTTGGATTCTTTGGAGTCCTAGGTGCTGCTAGGTCCTCTCCCAGGTTCAGTGATTGGTGTGTGGAGACCATGAGAAACCAACGCTATGAAGGATCACTAGAAGTTGAGGGCTTGCCCCTTTTCCTTTAGAGGACAATGTGCAGAGCTCCATGAGGCTGTATGTGTGACATAGCATTTGGCCTGGATGCAGCTAGTTCATGAGCCTGGATGCAGCTAGTTCATGATGCAAACTTTCACAGGTGTTGCGCCCTTATGGCAGCCATCACTTCGACACCGTCTCCATCGAGCATTTGTTCCACCGCCTGGATGTGCTTTGGCGCCAGTCCCCGGAGCCGTCCCCAGACCTGCTTCTTGCCTGAGACCTGGGAAGTCAACGGGTGAACGTCTTGGTTCCAAGTGAAGCTCTCTCCATTTATCCATGTTTTCGGGTAGGCCAATTACGCGACATCACTCGTACATATTACTTGATGTGGGCCAAGCTTAAGCCTGCGAAAGCAACCAACCCACCCGGTGAGATCTAAATCACTGGGATACCGAGCCACTGATTGCCAAGTAGGGGCGGTTAAAGACATGAGGCGCGCCATGCTTTCAACACCATGCCCCAAGCCTCAGCAAGTCTTAGCTTGGCTGCTTTTCCAGGATATCCAACTAGTCGAACCTTGACTTCCCGGTGGAATGTGCATGTTCTCAGCCACCAGCCGACCTTTAAGAAGGCGAGTCATTTAAACACGCCTGTGGTGGCCGTGTTTATTTTCCTGCTGGACGCCTCAGGTTCTTCCTGCACCCAGCCACCCACAACTGCCACGCCATTGAGTATCTCTTCTCTGGCGCACCCCTGAAGCCCAAGCTCCTGGAGCCTCGCCCTTTACCCGCCGGAAATGGGGGTAGGGCGGGTAGGGCGGGTGGAGGTTGGACCCGTGCATGGAGGGCGCATGGGAGTTTACCTCGCAAGCAATAGTCTAGGGCATTCGTTTTGCTGGGTTTGCTACTGTGAGAGTTGCTCCAATTGTTCATGGTGCGGCTGGTTGTCCTTTTCAATATCTTAGAGAGGGAAACCAACGGTGTTTTAGGGCTGTCCCCAGTCAAGGACCTGTGTACCCCAGGAGCCCGGAATGCTTTTGGGCCACCCCTCCAGGCCCATCCAAGGCAGCGAGTTCTGGTGAGAGCCTAACTTCAGATCAGGCCTCAGGCGTATTTGGGCGATGATGTGGATTTAGGTGGGCAAGCTTTGGTTCTCCCTCCTTGCTGCACATTCTTGTTCATGCTGCTTGTGTGTTGGAATGATGGGGGCTCCCAACCGCGCCCCGCATTCCTTTAGGATGAATTTTCATACACCCCTCAACATGGTTTTTGGACATACGCACCTGCGTATAACGGAAGCGCACCAACGGTTCTCTACCCAAGTTTTCTTGTTCAGGCCCACATCTGAGATCCCCGTGTCATCTTCGAGTGGGTGCCTTTCCTTTCCTTTTTCTCGAGGTGGTGCCGATCAATCCGATCATCCCGCCCCCCTTCGAGGTGATCCCTCGCTTCGAGGCCTGGTGGCACATGCTGCGCCCCGCCTGGCGCAAGACGCGCCTGGCCAAGGGCTGGGTGCAGCACGAGGACGACAGCGTGGGGGAGCCGGACGTCATGGATGAGCCGCTGGGGCGACAAACGAACACCGGCAAACGCCGGGCATAGCCGTGTTTTTTTTCTTTATTTCTTTCGGGTTGGTGCAGCTAATAGGGATCCAAGCTGGTTTCTGTTGGTTTGATTTTCATTTGCCAGTGAGTAGTGCTATGTTTTCCTTCCAATGGGACAGGCTGGCCCAACATGAGTTGCCCCGAACCCGCTGAACAAACAATCAGAAATGTGCAAGACGCCCACGAGAGACCCCCACCATGCTTCCCCATGTGTTTTCCCCCTCCCGCGCTTGCATGTAAGGTACCTTACCACGGCCATGTGGTTGGGTCAGTGCTCTTTGGCAGCTGTCAACAAGATGCTGGAACGCATGCAGAAGAAGAAGTTCCGCATCTTGATCGCACTCAGACTGTCAGGTGGCCCGCCCTCTCATATTCCGACCAACTACGCCCTCTCATGCTCCGACATTCTGGGGTGGCTTTGAATCAAAGGCAAACCACCATTTTGGGTGGTCCCCCTTTTTTGACACATACCTATACAGACCAGCTTTTAAGACTTTTTGGATGTCTTATTAGCTTGCTGGCTGCAACATGCCGGAGGGATCTAGGTTGCATTCTAGTGCATGAGAGAGACAGACTCGATCGGAGCGATGTATGTGAAAAGGACATCACGCGTCAATCCGCGATCCGAACCTATATTGCATGCAGCACGGCGTGAGGGTTGGGCAAACTTGGCTCAAACAACCAGACACTGGTACCCCTTGAGAGGGGAACCAACGTGATGTTGTTTGACCAAGGGTAGTTCCAACGTTATTTGTTCTGTCAGTATTGTCGTCGTCCATCGAGGTTTGAACGAGGCTTGCCAGAATGCTGAAATTTCGCACCTCGCTGCAAGGCTACGTTTTGCATCACGTCTCCGGGGCCTACGCCATCTATGTGAGGAAAGACATCCACAAAGCCCTGGCCATCAGGCACAACGAGGCGTTGCTTGCCTTTGGATGCCATTGGATGTTTAGATGCTTTTGCCTCAAACTTTACCTTCCCTTCCACTCGCATGGTTTGGTGCATCGAACCTTCCTTTCCAAGAGAAGAGTAGTTTTCCAAAATAACAAGAGACTTCCATGTTTGTTGCTGGAAGGGCAGATGCGTTTGGCTCAAAACTGAGGACCTGCGGAACGCCTTTCTTGCCAGCTTGGGCTCCCCAACTGAGCCACAATCAAAGCCCGGGTAGATGAAGGTTTGTAACGGATCATCCCAACAATAAACGGGTGCGGCCGCCGTGTTAATTAATTCTTTACACGTTTCTGGGTAGACTTTTTTAGTACCAGGGTTTTGATTATTACTCAACTGAGGTCCTCTCTCTTTCTGAGAGAACCCATTGGCAGTCTCCAATAGGACCCCTCCGCAGCGTCAAACAGCAATCTGAGGCTGCAAGGACCATTTTGATTTTGGCACACCTCCCATCATCCATCGTTACCTGGGAGACCATCAAACGCGGTTAATAGGATATCCGACTTGGTCCGACACAACGGGGCTTGCTTCAAATCTAGCCGGAAGCAAAAGGGGATGTGTAATATCTTTTTTAGGTCTGGTCCTATTGGACACCGAGCATGCCGTCTGCAAGCCGATTTTCCTTGGCCAAGGCTCACTTCGTCCTTTGCCAGCTGGCTGCGAGGAGCGCCGGGAATTCGCAGGGGCGTTGGCGATTGTCGTTTCCAGGGGAGCTCCTTTGCTGAGAGGCTTCCAATTTCGCCGTTCAACTTGAGGGATAGTCCCTTCGCAGGATGGCACTGCAGACCTGGCAACCGCTTCTTCTCAAAGCTGGAGCTGGTTGCTGGGCCTGCTGCTTGGCAGCAACCCAGTTTGGCAGGTGCTCGTGCTGCCGCTCAATGCCGCGTTGCCCCTGTGCATGTCATATGTGGGTATGAGGAGCGAAAGACAAATCATCGGACCCTGTGGCAGCTGGTTGTCTCCGATGTTTCTTGCCGGACAACTGGAGTTGTGAATCGGTGGATTCGGGGAACCCACCTTTCGCACCCAAGTTTGCTGGAGATGCAGCAGTTTGCTCCTGCCCATTGCATTTTGCCGATCATCAAATCAGCTAAATCGCCTTGGTTGGCTTGCCCAATATCCAAAGCTGGGTTGTTCACCATCAATTCGCAATCCGATGGTAATGGTGTCCCTTCTTGTTGCGGCACCCAGCTACAGATTGCAAATGGGGATTTTGAGCTAATTTCAGATAGCCTTTGATTTTGTGTAGTGGAAGCCTCAGGACGTGGGCAGGTTGGCAGCTTGGAAGCACTGATGGAATCGCGTTTCAGGGCCATGCCGCATCGGAGATGGGCTGCCTGAAGTTTCCTGCCCATTCTTGGCACTAATACTGTAGGGCTTTACACGACGCCGTGGAGCCAAACAAATGAGGCGTGTCGGCCACTTGTTTGGGTTTCCGGGTCTGGCTGAGAAAGAGGTTGTGGGCTCAGCTTAGGCCCCCTATTTCCCGAAGGCTTGGCTCTGGAGGTTAGGGAGTGGAGGGGGGAGGCTGAAACACGGACCTAAGTTTTATTTTTTGCTTGGATACTATAGTGCGCCAAATCAGCAGATGGTATGATGATGCAGACTCTAGGGTTTGCGGAGGATACAATTGTTCCCCCACGGGTGGAAGCCATGAAGGCTTGAGCTGCTGGCAGTAATGCACGCTGGCTTTTCCAGCCTGTGCTCCTGCCACATGTTATGGTGCAATTGCAGATTGTTCAGCCTCCAGAACCTTTGAATTGACGTATTTTGAAGACAAGGCTTGCTTCATGTCCAAGCCAGCTATCTTGTTTGAGAAGGCCATTTGTTCTGGCTGGCCCCATCCTCCGGCATGGCTTAAACCAATTCACCTGAGCCTGGTGCTCAGGCAGACCCTTCTCTGCCAATGCGGGAGAAGGAGAAGATTCTGTGCTACTTTCTCGAACGTGCCCTTGCTTTATTGGCCCCAGAACCCCGCGTTTCATGTTCAACCTTCTGCGGTGACGTAGCATGACCGAGTCGCATCATCAAGGTGCTACTTGGGGAGATTTCAGCATACGAGTTCGTGCTTTCATGAATGCCGCCAGCGGTTTATTTTACGCAGCTGTCCCCGCATTTGCACCCTCAGGAAGCTAGAGATTCTTGGTTTCTTCGACACGTAATTTGCTGCAGTTGCCCGTTAGCACCTTGGTTGCTGAGTGGGGTTGCTTCTCAAAATGGGCAACCCCCTGTCAAAGGGTGGGGTAGTTTCCCTTTGGCTTCTCTTCAAAGCCCCCCCCCAATAGGGCACCAACTCCCAAAAAAAGAGACACCGAGGTCAGAACATCGTCGTGCAGCAGCGCAGCTTCGACTGCCAGGCCCACTTGGCAGTCTTGGACCGCAGCGAGTCTGAAAGCTGCGCCTCGGCGAGCCACGTCTGCGAGAGAAGTTGGGCCTTTCGTTTCAGCATTCTCATCCAGGGATCACTGGACTACCCCTTCCAAAGCTGCAAGTTGCGGTTTCCACTAAAGCTGTCCGCACCTTTTTGTTTGCTCCTTGTCCTTTGTGGGTTCCCCTCTTGCAACGGTCAATCCAAGGGTTCCCATTTCCTGCCAGGGTCACTGGGCAAATGGGCTTTGAACAGTGAAACCCCATGGGTACAGGACAGGCGGCTCGCTGCCGACACTTGCGTGTGGCTTTGGCCCAATGGCCGGCCAATCGCCCAAAGGTCTTGCAACTAACAGGGGAAACCCCCGTCTGGAGTCTCAGAAACCTCTTGATCCCCATAGCGGGCCAGGCTTGGGCTTGATCCCCATTGGGGACGTTTCAAGGGCCATTTGTCACGCTTGGGGCCTGGAGCATTCATTATGCACAGTGAAAGCGCCATGATTTGAGAGATGCACACCTGCACACATGACGCATGCACACGCGACCTTCGTGTCCAGCAAATGCTTGCCCCTGCCTTCCCACTGAGCCCAGATGGCCCCCGAGGCGTGCGCCCGGACTTCCGGGGCTGGGGCAACGACCAGGCCGGGGCGGAATGCGAAATTAGTTGAAGCAACCAGCCACATTTTACGGGACATCTAGATTGGGCTTGTCAAAGGAACTTGTTACTTGCGCCAAGAGTATCAATAGATGAGCTAAATTTGAGGGTGAAGATGTTTAAAAGATGTTTAAGTAGTTGAAACACGTTGAAATCGCCCAAACCCGAGGCAGCCTCGGAGACTTTGCAGGACTCCGTCGGGGCCTGCGAGGCTCACTGCACCGCGTCCATGTGCAGCGCCTCAACCCCGCAATGAGAAACCGGGGCGGGGTTGGGGTAGACAGTCCCAACGGTGCGGGCCCTTTGAATTCTTTAATTGCATTTTCCCACTTCCCGAGTTCCTGCACTTGAAACTTTCTGTGAAGACCATTCTAGTGGCAAATAACAAGTGTGGACTTGTTTGGCGAGTCCACTCAGAAAGTGAGTTTTAGGTGGACAACTTTATCAGGTTTTTTTGATCGTCAGATGTTCGGATGTTCCTTCTTTCTGCCTTTCGGAAAGAAAACCTGAAAAGTGCTTTGCAGAGAGGGGCATAGTGCTGCCTACAGATGCTCTCTACCTAGAAAGCCTCCAGTTCAGAGGAACTCAATTAGCAGTGGTTGACGGGACTGCTGCACTTTGAGGCTATTGGACCTTCGACCCTACAGCCCTCTACGGGCAGCCCCTCTGCTGGATTTGGGTGGGCAGCCGCCCTGCCGAAGTGAAGGCGGAACGCGGCTGGATCTCTGGCGACGCGGACTGTGCCTTTGCCTCAACAGGGCTGGTCAGTCAGCATAGGGCTCGTCTTTGGCCCCAATGACTTAGGTTTGTCGAGGGGCGTTAAAAAACGCGGGTTTCTCTTGGGCTTCCCTGCGAGTGCAACCATAGCAACCTCAAAAGATTGACATGAAGAGCGCCCAGACCAGTAACAAGAGCCTCCGCTCCAATACGAGGCACCTCCAGACCACCCTCCAAGAAAAGACACCCATGTTTAGCCAGAAACGCCTGGCTCCGCATGGCTTCGGCCCAACTGACATGAAATTTGGGCTCGGTGACTCAACGCATCTCAACGCCTTGAGGCAAGCGAGCTGCCAGTCCAGAGCCACCGGAAGCCGCCGGCCCGCGGAGCTCAGAGGAGCGCCGCCTTTTCCTTGTGGCTTTCCCGATATCGAGGCAACCAAGAATCAGAAGGCTCCAGGTTCTCTTTTCCTAGCTGAGTCAGTTCCATTCAAAACGGAAATCAACCAAGTGGTCCCAATTCTTCCCATTCCCTTCGGTTTGGTTGAAGCCCAGAGGAGCTCGATTTGGTGAATGTGTCGCCCCTGAGCGGGCGCGAAGTCTTCAAGCAATGGGCCGCCAAGGACGGCTGGGTCAAGCCTCTTGCGGTTTCATGTGTGCTTGTGCGCTTGTGTGCTTGTATGTTTGTGCTTTTGCGCTTGTTTGTTTTTTGTGCTTCTGTGTGCTGTTTCTGAGGTGTGTTTGTTTGTTTGTTTGGTTGGAGGTGTGTTCTAGCAAGCAAACAAGCAAGCAAACAAGCAAGCAAACAAAACACGCAACAACAAACAAACGAACAAAACAACACAACGCACAAAACCGTCAAACCAAGCAAACAAGCGCGGTGGGTGCAGGAGATGCCTGAGATACCTGGCATGAAGTACTTCCTTGAGGCCAGCAACCGTGGCCGATGTATCCAGGGCTTCTGCGAATGCTTTCCGCCCTACCGTGGGCCCTTGTGCGAGCAACTGGATGCGGGGTCGAGGGATGCCGACCGCAGCTCGGCAATTGGCGGGATCTCTCGCGACCTGCTCGCGCTTGTTGCTTTTCTTTGTCCAATCGCATGAAGGCGGAGCTTGTGAGTGTTTTTTTTTTTTTTGTGAGTGAGGTAATTTCACCGCGGTGCTTCACTACCTGACCTCGGATGACGATATCGACATCGAGGAGACTTGTCCGGGGGGCATGCAACTGGCAGAAGGGACTGCAATAAGCTCCTCCTTGGCAGGTAAAAGGGGGGACATTCATTCAATTGTTCAATTTGTTTGGTTTGGCCTGTTCCAGGCAATTCCCAATTCTTCCCGTGGATGGCGTGAGGAGTTCCCACTTCTAGTTGTTTCCCTTCAGAGATTAAGTTTAGGATTCCACGCTCTTGCGTGGCACCAGGTTCTCGTTTTTGTTTTAGCGGGCCGGCCCGCTAACAGATGGCCAACCCCCGAAAGAGTCCGAGTTCGCTTTTCCACCAGGATCAGCAGGGCGGCCTACACTTCCCCTTGCAACATGATTTAAACATCACATCTTAGGGGTTAGGGATTTCCTTTTGGTGGGTGACGTTTGAATGTGAAGTCAAGAGCCCTTGGGCCCCTTGTCATGGCACCCTCTCTTTCTTTCCCTCTCGGGCTCCCTGCTGAGACATCTCCCTCGGGTTGCCACTGGCCGGATCCCCAGGACATCCAGCACAGCCTGCCGCGGCTTTGGCGGCGCTTCAACCGACGCTTCGATTACCCCGTGGTCATCTTCCACGACGGCCTCTCGGAAATCCACCGCCAGGAGGTGGGCCTGCCCTGAGTCTAAATCGAGCTCCCAAAGTTGTGCCAACAGCAAAAGGCAGAAAACCTCTAAGCGCCTTTAAGACGAAAGGTTCTTGTGTTGGCCACCCTTTCTGGGTTTTGTCATGTGTTTTCCATGTTCCTATCGGAATTCCGGAGAAACGGGGGGCTTTTACCACCCTTTTGCCACCCTGGCAGGTGGTGAACGCCTCAAAGAACCGGATCTGGCGCCACAGCTGCAAAGGAGGGATTTGGATCGGCGTATGCTTGGGGGCCTGGGCCTGCTGGGCTGAGTCACTGGAGGTCATTGGGATGTTTGTTGGCCTATGGGTTCCATGTTGAAAGTATGCGGTGGCTAGTTTCTTCGGTGGACGGTTCAACAAGACAGGTGATGCTTCTCCATAGCACCTATTCTGGCACAAACAAGCCATTTGGGGGGGAACAGGAACAGGTTCTATATTAGTGAACTCCGTCACAGACATCATGATCTAGCAACATGTCATGCACAGGTGTCACGCTAGAGTGTGGACTTTTTAGCTTCAGCGTCTACGGTAGCCTGTAGGGGAGTACTCGTGTTTGGTTCTCGCAAAGTTGAAATAGAAATGCTGGAATTGGGGGAGGAAAGTGACCACTTCTATTCCGCCTTTGTGGAAAGGCTAGGGGCCGTGGGTGTGTCAGTGTGTGTGTGTGTGTCTGTGCGGCCTGAGCTAGTCTGCCTAACAATACGGACAGCCCCGATAATTTGCCGGCGCCCCCGGAACCCAAAATCTGAACGCTAAGCCCCAAGCCCAAGCCCTAAACCCAAACCCTGAGCCTGAGCCCGAAACCTGAACCCTAAACTCAAGCCCTAAGCCTTAGCCCTAAGCTAAGGCCTGAACCTGAACCCTGAAGCCCAAACCTAAGCCCTAAACCCGAGAAACTTTACCAAAACCGTAAGCCCAGACGCTAAACTTGAACTCCTGTTTGCTCCCTACGCCTGGGCGGTACCACAGCCCTACGCTCCTGAAGACAACAAAGGTAACCACACGTCAGATATGATAATGACTGCACGAGCTTTGCTACTTGAGTACTAGAAGGGCCATACTTGAACCACGTGTTGCAGGCTAGGCTCGACACAGGTCACCTTTTGGGTTGTTTGGGGTGGTGATTCATGCAGATTGCCCTCTCATGTATTTGTGTTCACGCTGTTTACTTACCAACGATCAACTTTGAACTGCCCAAGGGTTCTAGACAACCGTTTGGCTGCTCCAAGCGTGCCTCTGGCAAAGCGTACCTGACAGTCTTACAGTGATTTGTATTCCAGGTTCGCCTATGTGGACGACTACTTGCGGGTGCCGGAGTTCATCACGGAGGACTGGGACACGCGCTTCCTTTTCGTGGCACGCTGTTCGGAGGAAACACACAATGTCGTCTAATTCGTGGAATCCCTAAAATGTGTGTTGCCCTTTCAGTTGCCGTTAAAATCAACTCAGACAGGGTACGTTCACAAAGACAACTCCATTCAATGATTCACATAAAGTACAGGGCTGTTTAAAGGCAATCCTTCATCTTTCAAAGCATCTCTTTGCTGTGCTTTCCAAAGAGTCGGTATGGAGAATCGGCTCGGCCAACCTGGCATTTCAACAGGGCGGCGGAAGGTGCCACCGTGGCTCCCCTTTAAAGCCCTCAAACCACAGCCCAGCATTGGTACAGATTGGGAGCCAACAGGCAGCCAGCCCAACCCTGAGGACCCCTCGCGCAAGGCCGCGCTGGATGAGATCAAGTGGTCCCTGGGCTACCGGGGCATGTGCCGCTTCCGCAGTGGCACCATTTTCCTGCAGCCGGTGCTGCAGAAGTTCCAATATGCCATGACGCTGGACGGGGGCGTTTCCAATGTTGACCCCCATATTAATCAACCTGATTTTTTTTGTCAGGGGGGTGTTCCCTCAACCCCAGCTTACTAGGGGAAAGTTCCCCTCCAACAGTCATGATGTCCCACTAAACCCGGGGACACCCCCGAATTAGTAAACTGGGGTTCACTAATATGGAGCCAATATGAACCCAAACTGTTCTTCTGAAAATAAGAGGGGCAAGGAAACCCACCGGATTAAAGGGCGCTCCCCCTTTTTGGATCGCTTTCATTCTCTTTCAAAGTGCTCTCTGACTCTGCTTGGGGCTGTCGAAGTCCCCACCCGGTTCCCGCAGGTTAGCTTCCTTTTGCATGGCGAGAAATGGGGGACATCCATGTGAAGGAGTCTTAACGGACAGTTGCTGTAGAAAGGCCAGTCTTGAGAGGGTTTCTTTTGACGGTCTGGACGGGGAGCACGCTGCCAGCTCTCTTTTGCACCGCTAAAAAGGAAATGCAACGGCTTTTGGACTCAGGGCAGTTTGTCTTTCAGCAAAAATTGTCGAGGTTTCTCGTAACGCTGGCCTTCGGAGGATACAGACGGCTACTTCCCCGCAGAGGTGGAGGTCGACCCCATTGAGGCCATGCACATTGGGGGGTACATTTACACTTGGTCCCACCTTCTGCCTGACCTGCCCGGCGCTGTGAGGCACTTCTGGGAGCGTCTCATCTTGTAGAAAGGGCGCAAGGTGGCAGGGTGGGGTGAAGTTTGGGCCTCAAAGTCCTAAACCTTGTGATTACAACTTTAGCTATTTAGAACCTGCCTACTCATGCGCATGTGGCGAACCCCTTTAAAAAGATGTCCTTGTTGGACAAATTAGTCTGGCTGTTTGGAATTCTTGACTGGCTAGTGTGTGTTGGCTTGTACGTCCAGGCTGACAGGCTGCACATCACTGCCCGTGCAAAATCTGCCTTGGGAACATGTGGTACATGTGACGCTTTTTTCATTGAGACAAGGTTCTGTCACGTCAGCCCTATGACATGCAAGGCAAGTGTGCATTTCTGCGTTGGCCTCCACTTCTCAGCGGTCCCTATGTTTCGCTTTGGGTGAATCAAGCGTCAATTCGGTTTCCAAGAGCTACCCTAAGGCTCTTTGGTATGTGCATTGGAAGGGTCGGGATGTGCATTGAAAGGGTCCGGCCTAAATACCCTGCTGACGACGTTCCGGGGCTCTGGCAGTTCACAGTTCGACGCCCCGGGGCCCAGACCCGTTTTGAGCGCACGCGACAAGGTCTGAAACCCAACTGGCCACTGGCCGCAACGACACCCCTGCGCAGAACAAAATTCCGTTTTCAGATAATTCTAAAAAAGGCCAGGCGCTATGGGTGAAGGCTGGGCGGCTTGAGTCCACAGTGTTATCGCTAACAACGCGCCTGTTGTTTCGGATGTGTGGGCTGGTGATGTGTCTTCACTTGTTTGGTATTTCGCAGCTTCTTGGCAGGAGTCTCGTGTTATCCCGTGTTTGCCAAAAGGTTGCTGACTTTGCTTGTTTGTGTGTGTGTCTGACAGGCCCATGAGCCGTGTAAAATTCCTTTGGTTACGCGCTATCGCTGCTATTGGCTTGCATGGCGTAACCCTAGGAGCCCCGAGACCTCATATATGAAGGCTTTCTGTTCGAGACCTGCGCTGGGAGGCGCCTCTAGACAAGACCTTGAAAAATAAGGTCTCGGAATTAGATAGCTCAGAGGGGGCCAAGGCCTGAATATAAAGGTTGAGGGATCCACTGGTAGGTCAGGTGCCCTCTCCCTGCCTGTGTTCAGAGCAAAGAGTGAGATATGAGTATTTGTTGATCATGCAAAACCGCAAGATTGGCAAACCAGACTTTGTACTTTTTCTTCATGAAGACAGCCAGGCTTGACACTAAACCACTTTCCAGACAAGTTTCCCACTGCAACACTGATGGATGCCAGCCAAAGCAAAAACGAAGGCAACAAAATTTCCTGGGCTGAAGAATGGCTTTTCGATAGGAGCGCAGGCCAAAATTAAAGCGCGTTAAAATGCGTTAAAATGAACCCCCCGAGGCCTATATAACGAGGCCTCGAGTTAAATCGCGTTAAAACACGTTAAAACGAGTTAAAATGCGTTAAAACGAGTTAAAATGCCTTAAGCCACGTAACTCAGATCATAACATTCCAATACAATGCCTGAACAGGTGCGAGGACAAATGCACAGAGCTGAACCTAGTGCAAACTTGCATGAACTGCATAGCTTGCTTGTGTGCAATACAATGTGTCAGTGGTTCCTAGGATTAAGTCCGTTCGAGATCTTCTTGCACGGGCTGCCTGATCACAGTTGTCTGCGACATTTGGGCCTGACAAAGCCACGAAAAAACACGTCCTCGTGGGGCATGCCGCTGTCAACTCTTCCCAATTTTCTGAGACCCTATATTTTAAGGTCCCGACCCCGAGACCCTGAAATTAGAGGCTTTGGCTGAGACCTTCATATATGAGGTCCTGGGCTCCTAGGGTAAAGTCACAGTTTGTATTTATGGGCCAGTTGAGTGCCGATTAGAACAGCGCGCGTCAAGTTCTGGCGTCGGAAACACGTCGGGAAGCTAACGCCTGGGCCCTCAAAACTAGGCAAACCGAGGGCCCGCGAGGGCCCGAGCGTCGGAAAGCCGTCGGAAACGTCGGGAAGCCGTCGGAAACGAAACGTCGGGAAGCCGTCGGAAACGTCGGGAAGCCGTCGGAAACGTCGAGAAGCCGTCAGAAACGTCGGGAAGCCGCCGTCGGAAACGTCGGGAAGCCGTCGGAAACGTCAGGAAGACGTCGGGAAGCCGTCGGAAACGTCGGGAAGGCGTCAGAAACGTCGGGAAGCCGCCGGAAAGCCGTCGGACAGTTTTCAGAAACCGCGGAATGCCAGCATGAGTGAGAACGCCGTCGGAAAGCAGATGTCGGAAAGCCGTCCGAGATCTGTGTTTGCTAGCTATAGGAAAAACTTTGGCTTACCGATTTGTCCGTGGCAACTGAATCTTTTGTTTGCCGGCCAGGACGGTGTGCGGGCCAATAACTGTCAAAGCGATTGTTATTGAATGATCGATAGTGATTGCAGACCCCGAGCAGCCGGGGCCCTCGCTACGAGGGGTCATGTTTCTATGGCCCCTCGCCACTCCGTCCCTGAGGGCCCAATGCCAAACGACGCCCCGAAAAGAGTTGGGATCCTTAGGGTAGTGTAATAACGCATCATTTCCAAGATCGTATACACAGTGCGGGTGACCTTGAGCGAGCTTTCGCAGCAAGGTACTCGCTCATGTACATGAAGATGAAGGGCATTGAGCCGCGTGGCACGCCGATCTTGCGACAGTTCGTGAGAGAGGAAGATGTGCAATGGACCTACCAGCTCTACATGAACGACATCGAGATTGTACAGCTGGAGTGGTTTCGCTCGGAGCCATATCAGGACTACTTCAGGCAGGGTGCCCAGTCGAGTTTTCGGAAGTTGGCGCAATTGGTTCGGGCTTTCGAGTTGCCCCAAGTTGAGATTAATTCTTGTTTAATCACGTTAATCCGCATAGTTCACAAATGACGCTTGAAAGCATCCAATCAATTCGATCTGCACGATGACCCCCGGCTGTTGTTTGGACTGTGTCCACCAGTTGGGTGCCCCGGGCAATTAGAAAGTTCTCAAGACTGACTCATGCACCCACGGCTTGATCAACCTCTGCATGCCATACAGCCCAGAAGAGGTTTGAGGTTGCGAAGAAGTCCTTGGCCACCTCCCATTTGTAATTCGGCGGTGCTGAGATACTTGGACTCCTTGGGCGGCTTTTGGCTGCACCGCTGGGGGGACCATGCGGTGCGCACCATCGCAGTGGGCATGTGGCTGCCCGAGGACGCCCCGTCGCATTAGGGAGAAGCGGCACCCCTTCAGCCTTCTTTGGGTTTGCACTTGGGTTCTTATGAGCTGGCTTTCTTGGTACTCAGTCATTGTCGCAAGAACTGTTGAGATATTCACAACATGTGGCATGCCTAGTGGCTTGTCGCACCAGGGCACCCGTGGGCGCATGTGAGCCAACGCAGTCCACGCCCCAAGCAAATCAATCATACGTCAATGTGTAGACGCATGGTTTGCTTTGGATCAGCTGCTCACTGCGTTTTGCATCTCGATGTATTGTTGTCCGCTTTGAATCCTTGGAAGTTATACTTTCTTCCACCATGTTTTGTGTTTTCATGCCGAAAGATTCCGAAACGCTTGCGCAATCCTGAATTGCTTTCGCTTAGCCATCCTTCTAGGGCTTGTCACGGCAGCTCTAGATTGTGTAGCAGTGTGATTCGGGCCTTGGGAGCCCTGTGGCCAGAAACTATACAACACATCTTGGCACATCGGCGTTAAGGTGTCGTGCAAAGGCGGAGCGTCAGTGCCCGTTATCCTTACCCCTTCAGGAGCGAGTGTTCGAGATGGATGTGCCGCGACTCGGCCCGAGCGGTATTTTGGAGCTTGCCTTGCCGCGTAAATTTCAACCTGCCTTGTGATACTCAAGCCTGATCAGTCTGCCGCCTGCTTGCCAGTGAGCCCATCACCTTTCCTGTGCCATGGCAGGTCGATGCGAAATTATAGGCCCCCTTCAAGGTCGTTTCTGCAGTTTCGATCGGTCTTCCTTGCTGTTCTTGGTCAAGGCCCAACGGAGTGCGCAAACCACACCCCGCCCCCTCGATTGCTCCTACACTGCAAATCCTCACAGTGATGTTACCTGCGTACCGTACTGTATACAGAGTATATTCGTTAATTAGGCTGTGTTGAAGAAGCCTCCCTTGTCGGCAAGGTGTCGCAGAAGCCAAAGTTGAATGAGTTTTGAGTACTGCCTGTGTTTTATTTTTTCAAGGTTGATTGTGGGGACCCAATTGGCTGAGGGTTCCTGAAGTCAGGCCGTTGGACGTGTTGGATTACCACAAATCAATACAAGTGATTCAGCTTGCGCCATGCTGCAAACCCATAGGACGTTGTCGTGCACAAATGCCAAGGTATGGCCATCAGAACTACTGCAGGTGCAGCGGAGCAGCTGTGGCAGCATTGGGAATTGTTTCCCCAGGCCGTGGGGCTTCCGACCTTCCCGTGGTCAACCAGATGCCCGATGTATACGGGGCTTCAGACCTCCAGCCACAGTGGGTTTTCTGCAGCAGCTGCATTTCTGGTGCCCAGGCACATCCCCGTCTCTCCTGCGTACGAGAAGAGGATGTGGGTGGCGTCCCGGAAAAGTGGTGGGTGTGTGCTGGTGAGGATGCCTTCAAGAACGAGTGACAGGCAAAGGCCGCGGGCAAAAAGGGGATGCATCAGGGACGTGAGAGGATTCCGGGCCTGGCATTGCATGTTTGGACAAATTGCCCTTTGCTAGCCACTGCACACATGGGCGTTGGCCAGGCAACTCCGTTTGCTGCGAGACGGAGGGGAGGACAAGGACTTGCCATGTTGTTTTTTGTTTAGCGTGTCGTTCTGTAAATTGCGCAGTTGACATCACTTGACAGGGTTCGGGACGTAGACAAACGGACTGCTTCTTGGTATGGATGGCAGTCAGAATGTTGCGTGTCAGTTCCGTGATGGATAACCCTGCTTTCCGAGGGTAGTTGTTTTAGAGGCGCATTCTTTCACTGCACCACGGCCCGATCTCAATGGAACGTCTTATCCCACTTCAACTTCAGCCTGACACGAACAATTTCAGGGCGGGCTTTGATTTGTTTGCGTTTACGACCTTTTGAGCCAGTCCGCATGAGCGGTATGACACGGACTGGCTGTCGAGAGAAACCGATAGAGAGGACGTGTAAGGATTATTTTCTTACAAGATATGCCTCGTTTCTCTTGAAGCCTTAAATGTTGAGCTTGCAGGGAGCTTTCTGCATGGCGAGCGAATCTGCAACACCTTAGGGTTCGCTGCCTTCACTCTAAAGCAGCTTTCTGCCCATCACCCCTTTTTGTAATTGATACTCGGAGGGCAAGAATCAGGATGCTTTGACCAGAGCCAGCTTGCTTTTGCAAGGAGATCGCGGCTTTCTGCCAGTGGCCTTTGACATGGCCATCGCATGGCAATGCGTGCAAATGCTCCGGAGAAAATCAGGGTGCGCCGGACTATCAGAACTTGTGAGGCGATCAGGCTTTGCTCATGTTGTTCGTAGGACTGGCAGACCACAGAAACAGGCACTTCGGCCGGTTTTTTAACAAGCTGCCTTGACTTCAGCGTGTTCACAAGTTACGCTGGCCAGACAGCTTCGGCTGGTGCAATGGAAGGTAAGCTTTGCACCCGGTGTGGGTGGTCTTTTTTGCCGGGTCGAGCGAATAACTCATGAGTTTGGTTCGCGTAATTTGAGGAGTTGGAGCTGCAGATTGCGTGATGTCGCTGTGGTGTTTAAGATGTTTAAGCTGCTCTTCCCGTGTTCTCCAAGCATTGGGATATTTCCCCCGTGTAGCCAACATGGTGCCGAACTCTCAAGACGGAATCCTTTCGGAGGTCCAATCCATGGATGATTCGGTGAATGACTAACGTTTGCGGGGGTCAAGTGGCCAAGTGCTGACATTCAGCCTCAAAGGCCAAGTCGCTGGGCGCCGAGGCATCCAACTTTGCAGTCCGCTGTTCCTTGATCTACTTCCAGCTGCTGGGCCCTCGGGACTTTCACTCCGAAGCTTCAAACAGATAGAAGTCTGCATCGTCGCCAAATTCATCCGAACAGATGGTTGGCCAGTGGCTCTGACCTGCACTTGCGAAAATGCTAGCCCAAAGTACGCAGCTGACACAGCACCTTGAGGGTCTTGTGCTGGGGCCATGCTAGCTAGCAGACTTTTAAGCCTTTCTGACGGACATGTTGCGCTTCCTCTTGCTGGTGCTGCCAAGGTTTACAATACCCTACCTGGTGACAGATGTGGTTCCGCAGATGCCCCGGCCGGCATGCGAAAAATCGCTCAGACGATTTCCTCTTTCGATCTGAAAGCTCTTGATGCTCAGGGATGTTGTTTGGTATGTCCAATGGGCAATCCGTTTCAAGTCGATCACCAGAGCATGAAGGCCCCCTGAAACGGCGCTTGCCTCCGCTGGTCCTGAGGCTGTGCCACCCGCGCAAGGGCGCGATGAAGTTTGCAGCGCCTGGGGCCTGGCTCGGAGGAAGCATGAGGATTTCTTTACCTTCACTTCAAGTCCGTCAGAGCGCCTTAATTTCTTTCAGATCACGGAATTCAATCAAGCAAAGAGGTACGTGACTGGACAATGCTCGGAACTTGCGTCCTGGGATGTCATGAGTCACTGCATAGCTATGCTGTTTGCTGAAGGGCGCTTAGCATGATTTGGCATATAGATTTACATACATAATGAAACTGACGTTTGTTTGTGGATTGGACTGGACCGGACTGGACTGATCGGTTGATTCATTGATTCATTCATTGATTCCTAGCATGGCATGGCATGGCATGTCATGTTTTGTCATTTCGGCATAGTTGATGCTAAATCATTAGGTTAATTAGGTGTGCATTTGTTAATACAAGGCGTGTTCCTTCTGTATGGTGCATATGTTTCCTTTGTTATTTGGCTACCATGTAGCATGGTTGCTTGGCTGCCTATTCGAATTTTATTCTCGTGGACATCAATGGGGATTGACTTGTTCGGCAAAGTATTTGTCACACGATGTGATCCTTCAAGTGCTCGCTTTGCTTCGCATCGGTCCTTTATCGAGCAATACTGCTGCAGCGAGAAGGCCACGCGCTCGTGTGTTGGTCGATGTGTTGGCTTGCACCCCAATCAGGTGTGAACCAGCGCCCTTCGGTGCGTAAAGCCTTGGATGGCTGTAGCCTGCCGCACGGCCGCAGGGCCGCAGCGAGGCATGGCAAGACCTAAGGTGAAGCAGCCTTTGCGGCTCATAAAAGTCTTATCCACGCTAGGGAAAGCCCAAGTTGTCATGGCGACGCCTGCGTCTGGCACGCTGTACTCAATCCCCTTCTCGCACTACTGCGAGTTGGCGCGCTGGTCACTTCAAGTTGCAAAGCTGCCTGGCTGAGTCAGTCGCCAAAATTTGTCTGCGTCTAAGCAGGGAGGCTGACCCTAGGTGCCATTCGCCCTTTGCTTTACCGTTTGCTCGAGTCGCCATACGGAGCTCATATCGACCTGGTGGTGAAAGCCCCCAACAAAGACTCTGTTGCAAGATGCCTCGAGAGTATCTCCCTGCCAATTCTAGTCGGGCCGCACAGAAGGTGTGGCCCCAGGCAAAAGCAAGACAATTCTAAAGCCAGGTAAGTGTTGAATTGACTATTGCAGAGCCGAAAGTGTCAAGAACAAGCATCATTTCCTCTGTTTTTGTTGTTTCCCGAACTCGTTTTTGTTTTTGGTAACGATTGTAGTATGTTCCCTCATTGTTCGGTGTTGGAGGAGCACTGCAGGTTCGGCCACGTTGAACCAATATTGCAGCAGAGGAAAATAGAAGCCCTTCCTGAAGGCCCTCCGCGGTGCCTTTTTCCGAAATAAGCCATGACATGTCATTTTTTGTTTATTTGGGTTGATGCGTTTTCTTATTCATGGCTGGGCTGTCCAGGTAGGGCTTACCATGTCACCAGTTTCTGGCAAGGTCACCCAATCTCCCCGCCGCTTAGCTGAGGATCCCCTTCGAGGAGTGGTCATACCTGCCGGGCTTGCACGCTATGGCGGGGCCCATGGCACGGATACGGGAAAACGCTGCGGAGAAAGGCGGATGGGCGCAGTGGGGTGGGGCGGGCGAGACGTGTCTCAGTTGCCCAAGTGAAACTAAGCTTTTGACCAGTTGATTGGTCACGCCCAAGGGTGAACCTCCGGCAAGGCGGGCTGTGACCCAACCAGGTTGACCTCAGTCCCCGGGATCGATCCCACACATCGATCGAGAAATGAGATGCTTCAGGCCTCAGCCCAACTTCGCCAATCAACCTATATCGCCTATATCCCAACTCCAACGCTCATCGTCGGGTTTTGGACTTTTTTGGTTGCCGATCACAAGACATGTGGCTGTGGCTCCAAAAATAGGGCATCTGCCCCCTGGTCCTGATTTTTGAGCCACACCCATACCCAATACCTCGGGGCAGCCTTGGCAGGCACTGGCAAGGGGCCAGGCACGCCCTTGTTCCAAGATGCAGAGGGCAAGGTCTACGACGACTCGTGGCAGATTCTGAAGCTGGCTAAGCTGGGCGACATACCCGAGGACTGACTTCCAATTGCATTCCCAGAAGCCATCGGTGTGCTGTTGGGCAGCTCATGAGGGAGGGGATGTTTCACGTTTTTCCCCACATTCTTGTGTGGGGTTCTTACTTTTACCTCTGCGCACCCGTCGCCCGCCACGCCTCCCTCCCTCGCTCCCTCCCTCACTCTCACTCTCACTCTCACTCTCACTCTCACTCTCCTCTCACTCTCACTCTCACTCTCACTCACTCTCTCGCTCCCGCACCCGCACCCGCACTCGCACTCGCACGCGCACTCGCACTCACTCACTCACTCACTCACTCCCTCACTCCCTTGCTCGCTCGCTCACTCACTCACTCACACTCACGCTGACTCATTTTGGTGTGTGTTTGCATGGCATGGGCAGCATGTGGTGGCTGTTTAAAGGGACTCGATGTTGTCGAGCGCGCGGCTGAGGGCCCCGCTTTGCGTGACAGGCGCAGCACTTTGGAGATGGCTTGCAAAATTCGTGGCAGGCGCAGCATTTCCTGTATTTGGGTGCGTGTTTGCGTGGCAGAGGCGGCATTTGGTAGCTGTCTAAAAAGACTGCATGTTGTCGGTCCGTTTTGCCTGACAGGCGCAACACTTTGGAAATGGCTTGCAGGTTTCGTGACAGGCGCAGCATCTCCTGTATTTGGGTGTACGTTTGCGTGGCATGGGCAGCATTTGTAGCTGTCTAAAGGGACTGGATGTTGTCGAGCGCGCGGCTAAGGGCCCCGTTTTGTTTTGCGTGACAGGCGCAGCACTTTTTGGAGATGTTTTGCAAAATTTCGTGGCAATTGGTAGCGCTCTGAAGGGACTTGATGTTGTCGAGCACATTCCAGCGCGCAGCTGAGGGCCTCGTTTTGCGTGACAGGGGCAGCACTTTGGAGCTGGCTTGCAAAATTCGTGGCAGGCGCAGCATTTCCTGCATCTGGGTGTACGTTTGCGTGGCACAGACAAAATTTGGTAGCGCTCTGAAGGGACTTGATGTTGTCGAGCACATTCCAGCGCGCAGCTGACGGCCTCGTTTTGCGTGAGAGGGGCAGCACTTTGGATCGGGCTTGAACATTTTCTGGCACGCGCAGCATCTCCTGCATTTGGGCGGCTTGCGTTGCATGAGCAGCACATGGTAGCTGTCTAAAGGGGATTGGATGTTGTCGAGCGCGCGGCTGGGGCAGGCGCAGCACTTTAGAGATTTCGTGGCGGGCGCAGCATTTTCTGCATTTGCGTGTGCGTTTTGCGTGGCGCGGGCAGCATGTGGTACCTGTCTAAAACGATTGGATGTTGTCGAGCGCGCGGCCACTCACACTCACGCTCACACTCACACTCGCACTCACACTCACCCTCCCCCTCACACTCACACTCACACTCACACTCACACACTCACTCACTCACTGTTTTTGCGTGGCAGCTGCAGTTTTCATGTCATTGCTACAAACCGCTGGTGAGAAAAGAAGCAGCGCTGCGACTGCCAGACATGTGTCACACCAAGAAAAGGTGGCATGACAACGAGAAAGGATGACACAGCGCGCAGGCTCGTTCACACTCACTTCTTCCATTGACTAGCGCTCACCGCATCTCGCGGGGTACTGTGCATGCTTCCGCTTCACGCGAACCTGTGTTTGCTGAAGGCTACACATGTGGGGGTATCCGGCCCTTGAATTAATCCATCTGTTGAACTATTCGAGGTTAGCGGCCTAACCCAAACATATGTTTAACATTGTGAATACTTGGCCACGTGAGTAGTGAGTACATTCTCGAAGGGTCGGGCAGGTTTCTTCTTTGTGCATGATTTCTTGTAAATTTGAGCTTCGCGGAGAGCAGTCCTAGATTGGATCATTCAGAAGCTTGCAGTGTTTTGGGTGTAACCCCTCACAAGCATTCCAGACCCACTGGGGAGGATATTTTCCAGATCCTGAACTTCACCATTGGGCCACGATCGCGGGCCGTCATCTATGCTGATCTCTTGAAGACGGAGATGGATGACGCCTTCTACAAAATCGGTTGCTTGCTAGAATTGGGACGGCATTTGAGCCGGTGTGACATTTGATCTTCCAAGACCCTCAACAAGTAGGCCTTGCAACCGGTTTGTGCCTGGTCAAAGTGTTGGGCACCACTGTGATGCATAGAGCTTTGATCCAATATGGACCATTGGACACTGTTCGAATTAATGGCTAAAGATTGAAGGCGAGGCCGCGTAGCCCATCCCTCTTCAATCAAGGCCTAAATTGGCCTTACCAAGCCCCCAAGCTTTGCCAAAGCTTTTCAAGGTGTTCAGGGCGGGCACCCTTGTTTGCCCTTATTCTGCCATACTGCGTGGCTCACACCACCAGAGTTTAGAGTTATGACGTGAGTGGCGTACGATTGGCTTCCCGATCTTGCCCAAGCTGTTCTTTCCAATTTAAGGCCGAAAGGAAGCCAGGGTGGGCCGCCTCTCTGTCTCCCTTTTGCGCAGCACGTGCCTTGAGGCCCCCTATCTTCGGACCCTCCAGCGCTTGTGTTTTGTTTTTTGGTTATAAGGATGCGCTGGTTGGTGTGACTTTCACAAGGGTAACCAAACCCCGCGCAACTTTTACAGTAGTCGGTTCCATATTCTATTTCCAGGCAGGTCCATGTGGATCTTTCATGGGGAAACCATTTTGTTGTTTTTTCAGCTGCCTTTGGAGACCTTCATCCGTGTGTTTCCCCAACAGGAAAAACAAAACCAAAAACAGAGTTGGGGGTCCCTCTCGGTTTGTCTCCCTGATTCTGGCAGGCGTGGAGTGCCCGGTCTCCTGGTGGCAGCGCTGGCTTTGGAGCTTCAGCGGCTTCCGGCGGAAGGTGGCCAGCAAGATGTGGGAGACGATGGTGGGCGACGAGGCGAACGCCAGCGGGAAAAGGATAAGCACCATTGTCAAAAAGGGTCCCTCATGGGCGCCCATTTGACCACCTGTTTGGTTGGTGGTGGGTGGAATCAAATTCTTTGGCCAAGGTGGATTCGTGGATAGAAAGGGGCCAATGGAAAGACAGACCAATGGAAAACAAATTGCATACTGTACTTGGGAGGTTCCCTTCCAGCAAGTGTTTGCCTTCATCTGGGACCAATGCAACGTGCGAGGTATTCTTTGATGATTGAGGGAGGTTTCGACTGCTGTGTTGGAATGAGGAGGCTCATAGTTGAATACATGACCATGCAGCTGTGTTTCGTGATGCGGGGGCTTGTGCCAGCAAGCGTGTGCCAATGGAAGGGGCAAGGGTCACCAACCGGATGACCCAAGACTCCCATGTTGATTTTCAGGAGTGCGCCATGCCAGGCGAAACAAGCCAAGACGCTGGCAGATTTTGAAGAAGGCATTCAGAAGCTGGAAGCTGAGCTTGCAAAGCCTGACGGCTGCTTCAAGGCCCAGCTTGCTGGAACTGGCTGGCTTGGGCATGTGGGTTCGAATCAGTCCAACAGGATTGCCTTGGCAAGGCCAGCATGAAACAGAGCATGTGAAGGAGTTGCAATGTTTGAAACCTGACCGCTTTGAGGGAGCCGATGTGTGTTGGGTAGCGACAAGAATCATTTTGTAGTTTTGTAGGACCATTGGGAGGGGCAAACGGAAGTGGCCAATAGTTCCGAGGGATTCCCAAAGCCCTTACACGTTGCAAGATATTGTAGCTGCAATCGCAACGACAACAGATGGGGAAGACCGGCGCTCAAGTTTATATATATATATTGCGGTTTTGAAGGGGGACACTGTACCGGCTGCGGGGGGGAGGGGTACGCTCAACAATGAGATGTACAGTACTTGTGCCTTTGCTTGCAATTGACTCTTGAAGTTGCAAGAGGCCAGTTCGCAGATCTAATCCCTTGCGCGGCCAACAGCCTTAAATTGACTTGTGCAGAAGATCAATTTGGAACGGCTGATTGCCCAGTAAGTACATCTATATCCCCTTGAATTCATCTTTTGTTTTTGCAGGACAGTGATTTGCAAGCTGTCGGAAACTGAATGACAACCAAGACAAGCATCCCTCTAGTTGAGTAATAGGGGTCGTGTTTGAATGAGCGGCGAGGGGACACTTACTTTGAGGCGCAATCCGGCTCCACCCATGTAACTTCATGAGTCCAGGGTCAATATTTGGGTTTGCGAAAAGAATTGGACATCCACAAAGATCTCTTTCGTTTTCCGTTGTTTTCGCTTTGGCCAATTCAAAAGCGCCACGCCAGCCAGGGCGCGCCGGCGCAGCTCAACGCGGCCTCGTTGGCTTTAGCAGCGCTCTTCGCGCCGGCGGTCTGTTCGCCGGACTACACAGGAGGCGGCCCGGGAAGTCACACAGACACCTTCTTCCTAAGCCGTGCTCGGGGGGGAATATAGGCACGCGTTCCATGCACAAGGCGTGTCCCAGACGTTTCCAAAGGTGCCTGAAAGAAGCCAAAGCGGCTTGCGGCCAGTGCAAATCATTTTTTGTGCTCCCCGCTGCAGTCGTGGCCCTAAAAGCTATTTTCTTTGCATGTGGTACTGCAGCGGTGCCAAGCGAATCTCGGCTCCTGTCTCAGATCTTTTTGGGGTTCTTCACTGGCCTCGCAGTCGCAGGCTTTGTGCCACCCATCTTGCTGGAGGTCTTCTCTACGCCGCAGCAGCAACTCGGAGCAGCGAGGGCTCATCCCTCAAATTCGCAGATTGAAGCCATTGGACACGTTACCTTAAGAGCAGGCAGGGTCTGTTTCTTTTCCTGAAGAGATTGAGCTGGTTTCGAAGTCCTCTGCAAATGTTCATTTTGGAAGGGTAGATGTGCTTTGGCCGGGTTGGCTTGAGGTCGGGTCCGGGGGTTGGGCGCGTTAGTTCACACATAGATGAAAGATTTATCATTTTTAGCGATCAACGCTGAGACCCATTGTTGCAAGATGTGGAAAGAAGACACAGGAAGATTGCCATGCAAGCATGTCCCCACGACTCCACCATGTTCCTTGTTTGCAAGGGCCCACCTGCTCGTTTTAGCCGCTTGTAGCCAAACCATGCTGAACTGGCTAGCTCGAAAGCATTTTGCTCCACTGATGCTACCCAACCCTGTTTGCAGATGGTCCCCCAGCCCATTTGTTCAGCCAGGCAGCGCATCCAAGCATGGCGAGACCGTCCTCTTGGAAAGTTTGTCCTGGAAGTTTATCGTCTTCATCGTTGCGCCGGGCAGGCGTCCTGAGAGTTCAGGCTCCATTTCTCTCAGCGTCAGCAATTTCAGATCAAAGATCTGCAAGAGTCCGCGGCAACTTGTTGTATGCCCTATGCCCGTTTGGGCCCGTGAACCTACGGGTAGTTGGAAAGCATCAACACCTAGGCTGCCAGAAGGCTTGCTGTTCAGGGGGGTGCTGACCTGTTTCGGTTGACCTGCGTCGCAAAGCGGCTGAAAAAAGAGCTTTGCGCTGTCGGAAAGCAGGCGTTGGCCCTCGATGACTCCCAGCGCAGTCCTGTTTTGCAGCTTCCCAACTTTCACTGGCAGGAGACAGCTACGTAACTTAGTAATCACCACTTGCAATGGTTGTGAGTACTCATTTAGGCCAGCATGGCATATCCGGAGCCATGTTCTTTCGATTTCTCCTGCACCTCAGTCTTGAGGCATGACACGGAAGCCTCAATTCGGGAAGGCAGATGTCACCCATGATCATCAACCCCCTTGGAATCTGAGGAGGGGGGGTGTCATGGGTGGGCTTATCAAGTAATTAAAGATCCTGGCATATTCAAGGAGTCTGCTTGCGAATGGGGAGCTCATCGGTCATCGGTGGGGCACCAGAATCATGGACACTATGTCCACCATGCGTTTTTCAGGGGTTCCCCACTTGAAACTTACGGCCACATGATGAAACAGTCTTTGCTTGGGCTGATTCGTTTGGATGCCGTTTCCGAGGCTGAGCTGTCGGGGCAAGATGCCGCGGGTCTTTGTGCTGGGCTATGTGAACAAGGCGGAGGGCACAGCAAAGACTTGTTTTGCCCTACGCATCCCTTGTCACTATCAGGGTCCTGTTGCGCTACTGTGGCAACCCGCTGAATGCTTGTGACCCTCAACCATGGGTGCCAACTTAATGCAGGAATTGGTAGAATCCGGCGAAGAAAAGCCCCGCAAAAAATGAGGACCCAGCTCGCTCATGGGTTACGGGCCATGTTTTGCCGCCATGCCTTTCTTCCCCCAAAGGGCCCGGCTTTCTGATTTCTCCCAGTGCAGGTCATGTTCCACTTCGAAGAGACGGCTGTTGCCTCAGGGTGGAGACCTTCTGAGAGGGGCTCACAGAAAACCCACCCTCTGATTTCTGAGTTGCAGGCTGAAATTGCGAAGCTCCAAATAGGATCTGGAAGCTTCGGAACAGGGGAACCCTTCAACAGGTGATTTTCATTCGGCTTGCCTTTGATAGAGCACACGCGAATGGGCCTAATTGGTCAGCTGGCCACTTGGCTTTGTAATTTAAATTTTGCAGGCTTTGCAGGTCGTCACTTTGAGAATGGTAGAGGACACATCCATGTCAGCCTGAGCGAGAGCAGCGGAAGAGAGCCCAGATATTTGGAGTGCACGCACGGAAAAAGGGTCTTTGAGCTTCTGTCTCCAAGTGAAACAAGGAGACAAGGTTGAATCAGAGGTGTTGCGACCTGATGACATGGCATATACCAAGAAATCGTGAAGCTTAAAGCATTCCGAAATTCCTCCTGATTTGGATGACATGATGCACTTATGTTTTGCTTGAATTGGTGATTCCGAGCTGGAGGTTTGAAGCAATGAGCGCCTCCGATAGTTTGCCAGCCATACAAAAGGGGTCGCCAACTTCGAGGCAAACTGCAAAGATGAAGCGAACACATGGACATGCTAACTTGTGACAAGCCGCAGCCCTGTGCTGCAAAAAGCAGCCGAGGTCCATCTAATGATTGATACGCTCGGTAGGCATCCCGAGTAGTAGGCCTTCTTGCCGCAGGTGTCCAGAAGGTGTTCCGGTTTTTCCGCAGGTTTCCTCCAGGTCCGGAGGTTTCCTCCAGGTCCGGATTGTCCCCAGGCCAGAAGTATGCGCAATGCTTGCCAGCAAAGTGGGGGGGGATGGCATCCAAGGCTTGCAAAAGCCACCCCAGAATGAAACTCGCATCGTTTAGTCCGACATGTGGTTGTTTAAATGGCCGGGAAAGGGAAATATGCCCCTTGATGAACAGGCTTCCTTTTTCCGAACCCAGGTGGGGATCCTGACTTTGCTGCCCAACATGGCCCTGGTGAAGTTGCCCTGCGTTTTCTTCAAGGCCCAAGGAGTGAAGGAGTACATGCCGGCCCCGCTTGGTCAAGCGTTGGAAGAAAACACGTGCATGTGCGGGCATTCAAGAAGCAACTCGAATTGGGAAGGTGGAAGTCAGAAACTTCCACGAAGCCCACAGCATGTAGTGACAGGTTGCACTTCATGTGCCAAGAATATCTAAAGGCAGCTGGGCACAGAGCGAACCTAATTCACCAAACGCAGAGGTTGGAGCCACGCATGCCCTATTCCAATCACTCCCCAAAGCCAACTTTTGACCATTTGGATAGTCCCTAAGCATCAGCCCCAAAAGGGCAAGATTTGAGTCCCGGAGTCGAGGAACACGTAATTCGCAGGGCCAAATGGTTTGAGCCTTCAGTGGTGGGTTCCTTGCCTGAGATGAACCCTGCAGTTGCTTGGACAAGCGTTTGGGGCGCGTGTGTGTGTGAGAGAGTGTCAGTCAGTTTGCTTGCTTGCCAGTTTGTTTGCTTGGTCTTTCTTCCTTGCTTTCCTTGCTTGCCTTGCTGTCCTTGCTTGCCTTGCTGTCCTTGCTTGCCTTGCTTTCCTTGCTTGCCTTGCTGTCCTTGCTTGCCTTGCTGTCCTTGCTTGCCTTGCTTTCCCTGCTTGCCTTGCTGTCCTTGCTTGCCTTGCTGTCCTTGCTTGCCTTGCTTGCCTTGCTTGCCTTGCCTCGCTTGCCTTGCGTTGTGTTTGTGTGTGCGTTTGCTCCTTGGCGGGCGGGCAGGCTTTTCTTGCCAAGCTCTCTTAGCATCAGGGGCATCACCAGTGTCACAGGCTTGGTACATATTAATGCTGGCAGCCAGTAGGGTGCAGAGCTTCAAGTGCGGCTTGTTGGATTGAGAGTTCATGGACGGCTCCTTCACAATGGGAACAATCCCCATGTAAATTATGTCCATCAAGGTGTTTCTAGGGATGGGTGAATTTCGTTTGGCATGTGCAAATCGAGGGCAAGCAGCTGACAGGTCTACATGTTCGTGTTTCTACAGCGACTCGGCAGTAAGAACTTTGGCACCTTCAAGGCACGCTGGGTGAAGCCAACATCGGGCCCCAACGGCCTGCTCATCTCTTTTTATCTTGACAGGATTCCGCGGGCATTGCAAGCTGCTGCGGCAAAGCGGAATGCGCTGATGGTTGGTGATGTCATTTTATGTGCATGCAAGAATGGTTATCCTATCCAAGCAGCGCAGATGTTTGATAGCTTTGTTTTGTTGTTTCTGAAAGCTTGTTGCTTTCAGCATGACATGCTGCAAGGATCCAAAACCATGTGACCCACTTCAAAGCCAACCACATACCACGCCAAACCAACCGCGCCATCCAAGCCGGAGCGTCGTCCCCTAGATGCTCGCTAACAAGCCTGCGGGGCAGCCCGCGCTCCAAATGCTTTCGCAGGCCAGTTGGCGGACAAAGCATGCAAGGGAGTTGGGCGTGGCAATGAAGCCAGCATTCGAGTTGCATTCGTTACTTCTTTGCTGGTCCGCGGTACTAGGTGCAAAACTGCGTGTGTTTAAGCCCGAAGCCAACATTAAATCAGCCATTCACACAACTCCCTTTTGACATAATCGAGTGCACCACTGCGGGTTTTTTTTGTCACCGAGGCAGTCCGGGCTCTTGATGGTGAGCCTTTTGTGGGACGTGATCCTAAATCTGGTCAAGGCGCGCCCCTGCCTGTAAGGTTGTGTGAGGGGGGGCCGGGACAAGAAGAGAGATCTCCCAAGACAATGGTGTTTGGGGTTCCGCGCAAATCTGCAGGAGTTCATCTAATTGTCCCCGAAGAGAGAAAGAAAGGAGAAATGCCAAAATCGAGCCCCAACCCCGGGTCCCACCATGGCGATTACGCAAGTGAAGAGCATGTAGTTGACGGGACACGTAGCCAGACGGCGCCGGTTTCCAGGAATCACCCGTTTGTTTTTGGAGGACTTGCTTTGGCAAAGGCCCCAGGGGCCTGTCACACGAGATACAGGGGCGCCAAGCCACTACTTGGTGCTCCGTTTGTGCCAGAGCCCCGGGCAGCGGTAGTGGCTGTATAGATTGTTTGCAGTTGCCGTCATTGTTGGCTTCCCTTTCGGGCGCTACCCTGTGCGAAGCCTATGTTGGAGCTTTGAGCCCTTAGCCTTAGTTAGTGTTCCAGCCGGTACTTGTCCAAAGCATGGCTTTCTTGTTTTTGGACAGCCATGTTTTTGTTTTTTTTAATACTGCATGATGGTACCTCTTTCTCCTGCATGCTTACGACTTTGCACCGCCGCCAGCTTTAGTCACCTGCATTCACTGCTGTGGACGTCCAGCATCGTATCAGCTGTTGCCTGAGCCAAATTTGGCCAGCTAGGGCAGGGCAGCCTCAACCAGCCTCAACCCTTTGCCAAGGCGAGAAGTATGGGAGGGAAGATCCTGCGAGCCACGAGTGGATTGGGATCATTTTCTGCCTTCAACCCCCCAGACGCCCATGCGAGCTTCATGGAGCATCACATGGAGAGTGCGCAGTGGGCGGTGCGACAGCTGGCCAAGCTGCCAGCACCTCGGCGTGCTTTATGTCGCTTTCATTTCGTGTGCTTGGGGCAAGCCTGGGATCGTTTGGGAGATGATTTCGCATTTTAAGGGCCAGTACATATGGACCAGAGTCATATTTTGTTCAGGGTTGGCAGTAAAAGCTGAGATGACAAGCTTCATTGCTTTTGTGGTGAACACGATACGTTCTTCCTCCTCGGATCTAGCACTGCTAGCTGTGGACGCCACAGCTTTGGCGTAAACTCCTTGGCTCATCAGTGTGGGGCAAGCTCAGAAGCCGCAAAAGGATACCAGCACCCGTATGCTTATATACTTGTGGGGTATGCGTGGGAATAAATTGAGGATGGCAGCAGAGCCAGCGATGGAGAAAGAGGGAGAGAGAGAGAGAGAGAAAGAAACAAAAAACAAAAGAGAGAGAGCGAGAGAGAAAGAGAAATATAATGAAGTCCATTAGTCCATATTGAACGCCACACCTGGAGCTCAATCAGATTCGTTTGAAGCAAGCGCTGAGGCGTTGACTGGGCTTTTGCTTCTTTTGCTGTTCCAACAATCAGTGTGGCATGGAACTCAAAACCCCTCGTTTGTAGAGAAGTCTCCTTGAGCCTCCATGTTGTTTTGCAGCAATGCCCTTTGCGGAATGCACCAAAAGCTGCATTTGAGAGGAACATTGTCAAAACCAAGGAATCTTATTCATGGAAACGCGTGTGAGGGTCCACGGAGTATTTGCAAATTTGTGCCGCGGCAGGGGATTCGATTCCTACCCTGTCCGGCTGGACAGTTCTGCCACCTGCTACTGCTATGCGTTGTTATTTGACGTTTCTGGGGTTTCCCGCCTGCATCTTGTCTGGACGCATGCTTTTCTGTTTGCTTAAGACTGCCGTTCTTCGTCCACACAGCAGGTGAAAAGGCTGCGTCTGGCAAGGTGAGCCACAGTCAAAACCTGGGTAATTGGAGGGTGAGGGACAATGCCAGCCAAAGAACATGTGCGGAATTCCTGCTTTTTGATTTCTTGAGGCATGGTTCTGGGGATCGACCATTTTAACACCTATCGGTTTTGGTTATGACTCAGGTGCCGGAGGTCCACGAGCTCCCCGGCGCCGCCGGGCTCCACGCCGGCGCGGCCGCCCCGCTGTCGCAGCTGCGGTTGGCGGCGCTGGACTTCGCGGAGCTGCCGGAGGAGCTGCAGGCGATCGGATCGGGAACTGTCGATCCAACGCTTCGTGGAACCTATGTTCGGAACCTGACAATCTCGGTTCTCAACAATTATTTGCTTCTTCTGCTTCTTCTTCTTCTTCTTTTGGTAGGGTGGGGGGGCGGACCGCTTTAAACCGCCATTCAGAGGCCTTTTCGACGGATGTCACTTTCATTCCTGAAGTACCCGTGTTGTGGAACATAGTGTCTAGTTTCTCTCCGAAGGCGAAAGGCCTGGGGGCAGGCTGGTTTGGACAACGTCCCTCTTAAAGGGGACGTTGAGCTTCAGCCGGAAGAGTCCAGTCGCTGGTTCCCGCCCCTTGGGTTTCAGGCAGAGGTCCGGTGGCGCCGGGGGCTGAAGGCGCCCGAAAGCGCGCAGAGCGCTCTGCAGATGTTGGCTCTGCTGGCGCTCAAGGACACGGGCCTCGACCCCATGGACGAGGCGTGGGCCGAGAGCCTGGGGGAGGGGCTCATGGCTATGAAGGATGAGGTAGGGAGCCACTTTCCGTGATACTGTGACAGCCCAGGTTTGATTTGGGTGACATAGCTATATCGAAAAAGTCTCTTTGATACGTGTTTGTGTGTGTTTGTTGTTTGGGGTGAATGCGGAGTGGCTACCTGTTTACATTGCAAGCATATTATTTTGCAGTTGCATGGAATCGTGCTTTTTTTTGGGCCAAGTTGGGACATGAGTGGCTTCCACAACATTCCGCAACAGCCCCCCCCCCTTGTGCCTTGTTGGCAGCCCAGTGCCAGTTGAGCTTTCCGGAAAGCAGCCGCCCTTTCCACTGGCCGTTCGCAGCGAAACTCCGGGTCCCATGATTGATTGTGACCCTGCTTCTCGGATACGCACTTCAACTCCAAAAGGGCTACTAATCAACTTCTCTTGCATGATTGCAATACTGACCTGGCTCTGGCCAGGGCGATCAGATCCGTCTGAGACGCTCGGCAACATGATTACGCGCGCCACTTAGGGGGGCAAGCGCATGCTCTGCAGCAGCCCAGCCCTGCAGATTACGTGCACTCGTCGGCCATCCGCGCTCGTGCGCAACACATCTTGTTTATGGGCGCATTCAGGAGGGATAGCATGCCTTCAACAGGCGTCCAACAGTTAGCCAAGGACGGCATTCCCACGCGAAAGGCACGATCTACCTGCTGGTGGACGAGGAAAAGCAGCTTTGCCTGGTGCAGGATGGGTATGCCCCCAACTGGCCACCCTTGGCACTGGCGGCTTGGCGCTTGCAGCGGCGCGGCGTTGACTTCCAGTTTGAGACCTACGTTAATGCCGAGCTCACGCCAGTCAGCTTCCACACTTGGTCAGGCGACGCTTGGCGACCAACTTGGCAAAGTAGTCGCCAGGTGTGCATCCCTCGTGTGTCCTGCAAATGTGGACTTCTTGTTGCAAGGCCTTTGGCTTGTGCATAGCAGGTAGGAAGTGGGCAAAGATTTCAGAGCTGTGTTTGTTCTACTGGCCTTGCTACACTACTTCACCGATCTCTTGCTGTGCACGACAAAGAGCTGTTTCTTGCTGTGCAAAAGGATCACACATAGATAGCAAGTTGACCGACATCACCAAGCCTTCGCGCTCAGGACATCTACCTGCACCGGGCCATCATCGGGGTTTTGCGGCTCTCGCTTCCCCAGGTGCCACCCTTCCTCCGATGGCGCGGGCAGCTGGCGGCGCGCTTCATCCAGGCCGGGGCAGTGAAGCCGGAGGGAACTGCCAAGAATCATTGGTTGAGGAAGCAGGGTTGTCGGAACCGACGATTTTCTTCTTCTTTTTCTCTCTCTTTTTGTTCTCTCTCTCTCTCTCTCTTTTTTGTCTTAATAATGACAATAATAAAAACGTTGGTTGGTTGGTTGGTTGGTTCCAGCATGATCCCCGGTCTCGCTCGAACCTAAGGCTGCCTATTGGCTTTGAGTTTGGTGGCAATTGAGAGTGCTCGGGCTGGTTTTTAGTGAGTGTTGGGCTTGCTGAGGTCTTTAAGGGCAGGTCTTGGCTGTTGTTGGGCGGGTTTAGGGTTGGCTTTGGGTCGTGTTTGGCTGATAATTAATTTGCGCTAGGTGCGCGGCTCGTTTTTGCAGTGGCTTTAGGGTTGGTTTATTGTGTGGTTATGTGAGTTTTCAAATTGGTTGTGGGGTGTTGCCCCAAACCACCAAATCTAGCCAAGCACTCTCGCAACCAAATCTCTAAAGCAACCCGAAAGCCCAAGCCAACCCAAACCGACCCAAATCCAACCCCAAACCCACCCAACAACAACAGCCAAGGCCTGCCCTTAAAGATCTCAACAAGCCCAACACTTACCAAAAAACCAGCCCCGAGCACTTTCAATTGGCAGCCCTAGGTTCCGAGACCGGGGATGATGCTGGGGATGCGGCCAACCCACCCCCCAAAGAATACCGGCTTAGAGGCACACAAGGGGAGGCCTTGTGCTGAGCTGGGGCGTGAACGAAGCCGGGCTAGTAACACCTCAACCAGGGTTGTCCCATGTTGTCCCGCTTTAAGTAAACAAGTAGTCATTGGGAAGGCCCTCCAGTGGTAGCACAGAAGTGGGCAATTGCCAGCCACAGCTACGGTCAGTGAGATACCACCCCAGCCGTGCAGTGGATTCCATCCTTCAAACTCCTTTTACCACCTAGCGGGTTCCCTCCAGAGAATGGATTGCCCAAAACGGGGTTCCTTTTCTTTTTACCAGGGATATTTGGCAACTCGGGAATGCGCCTGGGTCAGCAAAGGCTCTCCCAGGAGAGCAATTTAGAATGATCGCGGCAACATAGCTCATTGATCATGCCACAAAGGGCAAATCACAACACATGACTTTGCGGCATGAGCTTGGAGATCACCTTTGGGGCCACCAAGGGGAGATTCCTTTTCAAGCAACGACGCTACCCGCCCACAAGACAATTTGGATTTCGAGAGCTTTTGAAAGACTGCGTTCCTTAGCAGGGGGGTGGGCGGGTTGCGCACCTGTCCCAGGCAGCCCCCAAAGCGCGGCACCCTCTCTTGCAGTACCTGGAGGCCAGGGTTTGGGTGCCGAGGTCAGGTCCCCGGGCGCTTGAAGTCGACATGTTGGAATGGATAAATGCTAAATGAGGGTTCCTCTGAGCATTCCTCTCCGGATTAATCCCACGTTGTCATTGGTTTGGAATTTCAGTGTGCCGTTATGTTGTTTTTTACAGGCAAACCCGCCCTTTTTAGGGCCTCCCCCTACTTTGGGAAAGCTGGGTCCATTATCCCGACATCCTGCCCAACGCACAACAAACAGTTGTTGGCAGGGCTGGTCTGGCAGTGTGCAACACACTTGTCTCGCAAAGTCGTTGTGGCTGCTACTTTCCTAGGTATGTCAGTCGGTTGGGGGTCGGGTTGGCACAGGAAATGTGGACGGGCGCCGCGTTGCAAGAATCACCAGCCTTGATTGAACCGGTTTGCTCACTTGTAACATGCAAGCAACCAGTAGGCCTGCGTGGTTGACCACTGGGTGGCCACGCCCAAAAAGTCCTGAAGTCGTCGCACGGCCACCGATTGAGGCCAAATACTCCCTACAAGTTAGCATGGAACATAAAGGGCTCCATGCTCATTCGAGTGGCAGTTTATTTTCCGCTCAAGCAAGCATGTATAGATGTTGACATATCGAAGGTAGCGCCGCGCTGCAGTCGCGGAAGGTGTTTTTCCTGCGGAAGCTCGCGGAAGTGCACATAGTAGTTTGATTCACATAGTAGTTTGATTTCGGTTGGGTGGCAAGCACGTTTACTTGCAAACCGTGCACGCGAATTCCCTCGCGGAAGCCACCTTCCTCAGTTTCCAGAAGCAACTTGCCTGTGGAAGGCCCGCGGAAGCACGTATACAAACTTATATAGAAACATTCTCGCGGAAGGTACCCTTCACACCGCGGAAGGTTTCGCGGAGGGGTTTGATACAGCAATGCAAATTCAAAGGAGTTTGATCTGCATCGGAAAATGGATGACACCGTTTGCCTTGGGTGCCCTTCGCTATCTCAGAAAGCCATGGCTGAACCCCACCATGAAACCGGGGTGTACAGGGGCAGCTTTTGCTAAGGGCGCTTCTTTCACTGACCGCCCTTGGGGGCATTGTCACCTCTGCCAAACATGTTTCCAGCTTTGCGAGCATGGTTTGCGAGTGAAGGCCGGAAAGCGCCACATAGCGCCACTGGATTGCGCTTCGCGGTGAATTGGTATAATTCAAGAAAACGTACCGAGTCAGACCTGTAGGAGATCGCCTGCACTACCACCCCGGGGCGGCCATACACCGCCATTGAGAGGCCTGGGAAGAGGGGCTAGCACAGTATTTTTGTTTGTCTTGAGCAACCGGCAATGTTTACTGTCACCTAATGCAGTAGAGGGAATTACATGGACCACTCACCCGATTTAGTTCTACGGGGAAACGGTGGTTCTCGCCAAATTATCGCATCAATTGGAGACAAAGCAGTTTGATGTGGGATAATCATCAATTTCCGGATCGTTTGTCCAATGCTTTGCGAAGGATGCACGATGCAACTCGGGATATGAAACGTTCGCGTTCTGCGCGTTCCTGACGGAAGGCAAAGAAGTCGGAGTTGCCTTTTGGAGCCTTATGGTGGCCATGGTCAAACATCCCACGAGATATTGGCAACACATTCTGGTCTTGGAGATCCCGGTGCTTGAGCCTGCAATTCAGGCAGTCAAAGTCAGGTCGGATTTGGCTTTGGCTTTGGCTTTGGCTCGCTAGGGTGAAATTGAGACTGCCCAAGCGCCAAACCCTTGTTTGAAGCTAGCTGCCAAGGCGCTGTTTGATCATTTTGCAAAAAAAATCCTTCGTGCCGAAAGGAACATTTGGCAAGGCACACATCTAGTTAACGTCAAGTTCTGGTTGTTTCCCCCAAGCGCTCCGCCCTTTTTTTGCCCCCCCCCCCCCCAAATCGCTTGGTTTGGGAGGTGCTGTGGGTCCAAGACGGCATCCTCGGGTTTTGGCTGCGTGTGCTTAGTGCCTTGGCACCACTTTGCGGCCCACAGCGCCGTGTGGACCTTGTGGAAGTCAAGGACCTTCTGGCCCCCCTGGCGCGTGCTGCTCCTGGGCCGGAAGAAGCGGCTTTGTTTTGTTAGAGTCCCTTGGGGTTTTCCTTGGTTCAGAGTCGGTTTAATTCGCTTTTGTTCGTAGTTGGTATTGTTTGAGGGGGCGTTATCGGGACACCAGATGAAGCACGCCCATCTTGGAGAGGGACTGCATGCAAAAGTAGCTATTTATTTGTTTAAGTTCCCTTCAACGGACGGACAAGCTGAGAGAGAGAGAGAGAGAGAAGTGGTTCGATTTACCGGATGCCTATTTGGCACTCAGTGGAGTTGTTACCCGTACGGGGCTGTGCAAAAGGTTCAATCAAGATGTCAAGTACTCAATGCTCCCTAAAGTGGGGGGAATATGAGAAGATTCACTAAGTTTCCTACACACACACATTACACCAGCGCACTTACAAATTGC